TCTGACGTCACTATAAGGTAAACAAACAAAATAGATTTTTTTTTTATCGAACACACGGATCAGATCACTTATCTAACTTCGAGACATCATGTTGACTCTTAAGTAAACCAAATGGCCTCTGGCCGGACGAGACGTTGCGAGGAGGGATGATGTTCGGTGACCCGAGAATAACAACAAAGTTGCAAGCAAAAGAGGGAATACACCCAAGAGCACATCCACTACAGAGATGGAGTGGCGAAATGAGCTTGTTGGCAGGAGCTAGATGGATTTGTGTTTTTTTGCATCGCGACACCCGTGAGAGATGGTGTACGTTCGTGGATGATTGTCGCTTTGATCATGTTAAGGGCCGTACATGGCAAATGTTGTCAGGCGTGGAGATTGATTCACAATTCTGCTGTCGAGACGAGGGGCCATCGCTAAAACTTTCATGAGCATCATGACATCGCAGACCAGAGGACGGCCCCAATGTTCCTTCCCAATATGTGACATCTGCGCATATATAACGCGTGGATGATGTGCCGTGAGGATTGCTTGACCATACTTATACTCAGTATAAGCAATAATAAAAAATATAACACTACCCAGGGACAAAAGTCGTGTTACATAGTGAATTATCCTAGTAGCACAAGTAGCTACACATGCTACGGGCCCCGTGCTTTCAAGCTATCGATTCTGGTTCAGTGATTCTGCACTTGCTCTATTACTATAGTACTATATTGCCTTCAACTTTTATGAACGACTGGGTGTTTAAGGTTAGCGATTTGCCGTATTATCCGGCTGTATAGCAAATGAAAAAATACAATTACATAAGTTAAAAATTTGTGTTTTAATATTTGTCATTTTTTTTAATTTAGGAGCACATTTATAACATATGCTACAGGCCCGGACGAGCTTAATCCGTCACTGCTTCAACTACCGATTCAGATAATCGTCACTGGTGTTGGTCGTGAGCGGCAATTCTCGAACTCGGGCCACCGGCTTCGTAGCGCGAGCGCGCTAACCGCTGCACCACCGCTCCCCGTGTTACCTCTGTGCAAAGGGTCACGTGCATCATCTGTCTATGCTGACGAGCTGTGTCTGCATGCGCGCAACACCAGCGGCGGTGGTTTGGAGTGCCACCTGCGGACAGTACGTATTTGTGAGACTCTTTAAATAACGCCTGCTGTGCCTTGATCAACGCCATTGTCCCAAGCATCTGGCTCGCCAGGATGCACCACTTTGGTTGTTCAGACAAACGCCTTCATTCGCTCGCCCCTGCGCTCTTTCTCCAGCACAGTTGTTTCGTTCAATTCGGAGGTGGCTACTCCGGCCGATGGCGCATGCCCATTGATTTATGGGCGCCGTGGAAAAGCGTTTGGGCATAGCTGTGTGCCAGAGGCACGGGGGCTAGGGTGGGTGTCATGTGCGTGTGTGTGTCCAGACACCACCGCCCCCCACAACCGTTTTTAGCTGTGACTAAGAGACACCCACAACAAGTTTGGATGAAAAAAATCATGGCACACATGGGTCTGCCGTTGTGTCCGCCCCTGAGAAGGAGTCGTAATTGCCGATGATGCTGATGTGCTGATGTAAGGGGTCGTCCATAAATGACGTCACGCACCTAGGGGGGGGGGGGGTCAGACATTTGTTACGATGTGTGACGAGGGGGGGGTTTGAGAAATGTTACGTCACATCAGAATGCACAACTTTAAATACATATAGACAACATGTTCTACTTAATTAAATAGACTTTTTAATACATGTTTTCTCCTACAACATCAGAGTGCAGCGCCACATTAAATACGCACTACAATGACAATAGTTTAAAGCGATTTGAAGCATGTTTTATTTTCAAGATGGAAATTTGGTTTTTGGAGGGGGGTGGGCAGAGCTTTGAGACGTCATATTTGAGGGGGGTCTGACTTCGTGTGACGAGGGGGGGGGAGGTCAAAAATCGTCCAAAATCGCGTGACGTCATTTATGGACGGCCCCTAACAACGCAACCTTTAAATGATGCACAGTGGGGGCACGCATAAGTAGGTTCAGCTGAGTCTGTAGCCAGTGGCTGCGTAGGTCCGGTGTCGATTTGGTTCACCAGGCTGTTGTTTCTCATGCAGGCTGAGTTCAACCATCGCCAGCACCGCTGTCCAAAACACCTCTCATTCTGCTGCTTTCCTCTCACGGCTCAGCTCTTTAATTCCCTCCCGTTGCCTCTTTTCTCCAAGTTCAGAGTTTTTTCGGCCGCGAAAAATGTCCACGTGCTAAGCCGCTTAGTTGAGCTGTCATTCGTGTGGCCAGGTCGCTTCTAAACAACAGCTAGTGAGCTGAGTGGGCCTTACCTGGTGAGATAAAAAAATAGTTTTGTTTAGTAAGCACTTATAATAATTTAGCTCAATTCAAGATGCATTTTACCTGATCTCTTACACATCCAGGAGTGCTGTTTGTTTCTGCACACTCGGTGTAATTGACCTTGGGGCCCTATGCTTAGCAACCATTATATATAAAAAAAATAGTAACAGTATCTGTAACCAAGTGGATGGGAGGGGAAACTTAATGATAATCCTAAGAATTTGTTTTATTTATTGAGTGCCTTTTACGCTGGGGTGTCTCAGAATTATTGACATTACACCTCGTCTCAACAATTTGCAAGGGCACCCCTAGCGGCAGCTGTCAACTCGGCACCTAGGTTGCAAGCGGACATTGGTCTGCCGGTAGGGGGCGATGAATGTGACGCGTAATCCCAATTGAGGAATTTCTCGGCTCCTATATAATTTACCTGTTTATCCAGGAATGCCACGCTGAGTCGAAGGACTCTTTTTCAGGAGGGGGCCCTGAATTGGGTTTTTATTATTCTAAGACGTTTTCAGCCAATTAATGACAATCAGTGTTTATTGTACAAGTGGGAGGAAACTGGAGCACCCGGCGAAAACCCACGGGTGCAACGCTCTATCGCCGTGCAGATGGAAACGGATGGCGATGAGTCCACGTGCTGTACCGCCATCTTCTGGCGAGGCGCCTCCTCCCCCCTCCTCGGCGTCAACTCACAACCCTCACTATCAAAGGCAGAACCCTCACGTCACGCGATCTCCGTAACGCTGTTGAGACATCGAAGTAAAAAGGACGTCGTGATGAACAAGGGATTATAACCTTTAAATGAAATAGGTCTGTGTCACTGCGCCCATACAAATTGCACACACATTGATGCAATGAATATATCACGTCGCGGTCTGCTTTTCGCTTGCAAGTTTCAGATTTACTGCAATACACCCGTCCTTGGACGGACAAAAGGCTAGTGTATAAACATAATTAACAAACTATGGGAACCAATCGCGACTAGGACAGCCCCCAACTTCCAAAGTATGTGTGGCTGTGCCCCTGCGTGGCGGCGTGCTTGTGCGTGCCTGTACGTGCATTGCCCACCACTCCAGCACCCGCCACTGTCAGGGTATTAATAGGAATTCGCTATTAAAGGGTGTCCCAGCCATGCCTGGCTTGGAGCTCACTGTATGACGGACTCGTTCTCTCTTTAGCACTTTGCTGTGCGTGCGTGTGTATGTATGTGTGCGTGTGCGCGCTGAGCTGTGGTGCAGGGATTCGTGCACTGCACTGCAAACTCAAGTCGCCTTGGGTTAGATATTTATCCATGTGTATCATCAGTGGTGCTTCCTTTATGACCAGCCTGCACCAGACCTCACCTAGGCTACGTACGAGTGTGCGGCCCTTTTGTCAGTCTGCTGGTGGGTGAGGGCTTTGACCCCAACGGGTTATTTAGCCATACTTCACCACGCTGGTCAGTGCGAGTTGGTGAAGGTGGCGAACATAGACGTGGGAACATAGATGTACAGTTCAACAATATTTTTTTTTTGCTGCACTGCCTATAACGACCAGGTTAATACATGGTGGTCACCTGTCCAAGTATTATCCAGGATTAAACTTGCTTAGCTTTTCCAGATGCAATGAGATTGGCTGCATTCTAGTTGGTCATAGGCCCCCTAAGTTCACTGTGGCATAACAAATATCAGCACTGGAGATATGCATAGGTGGGACTTAATGAGTGCTTGTTAACACCACTTCCCTCGACAGATCGCACTGCCGAATGCGATATATTTGTATTCAGGGTTAGTGTGAGAATTGAAAAGTGGCGCATTGCGCTACAATCTCACCAGCCCGGGCTCAGTCCTTCACCTTTACACCGGCGGCAATTGGTATCTGAACCTGGCCTGGGCAACCCCTAGGTCAACTCAGCCCTTTAATGATTACACTCGGATGTAACTCCCAACTTGAGCACCAAACAGTCGTACGCTCACGTGGGGGAGTGTATGGTGCTGTTCTATCTTTGTAAACTCAGCATTGGTTGTAGGGCCTTTGTGAACGCACACCTGCATGAAGGCCTCGCCGTGCCGTGTTAGTCGTGGGGTTTGTTTCATCGCCCTTGCCTACTGCTGGCCAGCGCGGGTCTGTGTGAAGGAGGGAGGCCCAGGATCGGTTCGGATGTCACTCGCCACTGACGTGAGCCGTGGCCGGGGACTCCCAACTCGTGTCGCCGGGTTCGTAGCGTGGTGCTCTGCCCGCTGTGCCACCACTCATAGCGAGCAACAGCTCATCCTGCCCAAACAGGCGGCCGTGGTCTTGGGTGTCTGCGTGTGCGCGTGTGTGACCACCGTGGGGGGCGGCAGCGTTGCGATTAGCGCTTCAAACCCTGTGACCCGAGTTCGATTTCTGCTCACGGCCAATGCCAGTGACGATTATGTGAACCGGTCCTGGGCCTCCCTGAGGTCAAGTCGGCATCAACTGAATACTTGGTGCGGTGTGTAAACATCGCCACTGGGGAGACAAAGCTGGCTGGGCGCGATGCCGGCCACCCACCCCCTCGTGTGCCGTGCCTGGCTTCATAGGTGCTCGCTAACAGCACTTGCCCCGACTACCTGTCAACGCTATATGGGGCAATGTTGTCTTTGGTGCCTGTTAAGGCGATAATGAGGGTTCTCTGTCTCTCTGTTTGTGTGTGACTGTGCGCACAGGTTGGAGCAGCATGACACTCATGTCTCCTACGGGGTGACTTCTCCCTCCTCGAGGTGGCTGCTGTCCCCTTGAGCTCGACGTTCCTGTCAAAACTGTGCGCGGAGAAGACGACAAAGGTGCGTATCTTTCTATTTGGACCTATGCATGGTGTCCGTACAGAATTAGTTTTCCATTTTTGAACACACTGAACTTTGCTGCGACGTGTTTCCTCCTCGCCTTCGCCAACCCGCACTAATCAGCATGGTGGAGTACGGCAAAATGACCCCACAATACTCGTACGGAGCGAGAAGGCCCTCATTGGTTGTTAAGGCTCGGGGCACCTGAATCAAATCGCATTTGCAAGAATTGATGATTATCAATTTAGGCTAATCGAGTAGACAAGACTGCACAGTTGAGACATAAATTGATTGAGAAACAATACAAACGAGATGGTAAGAGGGTGAAAAGAGGTTAAAAAAAACAACAACCATTTATTGCATCGAATAGTGACTTTTAACTTTGACAATTCATCGAATAACGAGGGAGGCGAATCATCACATTTAAGATACTGTTGTATGTGAATGCATGTTCGCGTTTGCACATTGCACTTGTGCACTTGTGTGTGTTTGTAGGGGAGCGGTAGTATAGTGGTTAGCACGCTGTGCTATGAACACGGCGAGTTTGGTTCCCGGGCAGTGCCAATACCAGTGATGATTATCTGAGCCGGTCCTGGGCCTCCCCTAGATCGGCTCAGCCACTAATGAGTACCTGGTAAACATCGCCACTGGGGAGATAAAGGCAGCTTGGGCGTGGTGCTGACCCGTCCACCCCACCGTGTGCCATGCCCGCCTTCGTAGGTGCTACTCGCAAACAGAAGTTGCGCCAAGAGTCTGTTGAGGCTATACGGGGGATCTTTGTCTCTGGAGAGACGCACAGCAGTGATCAGTACACACCGCTCCACCGTCGCAGCGGCCCAAATGCAATTCCTGGCGACGCATAACGGTGCCACCAAAACTTGGCTTGGGTCTCCCCCAAATCCACTCTGCCTGGAGCGCTGTCTAAATCACCACCGCTGGCGAGACAAAAACAGCTCTGCGCGTTGCTAAATCCACCACCTGTTAATCTGCCCTGCCGGCCATAATAGGTGCTCACTAACAGCACTTTCTCCTACGGTGCAATGCAGGCTAAAAATGGGATCCTTCGTCTTTATTCGTGCGCCCTGTATGTGCTAATGTTAATTAAGCTTGCGTGCGTGTGCTTGTTAAGCCCCAATCCCCAGGAGGAATTTCCATTCTGAGAGCGACCACCACCACCAGCAGCACCGGCACCGCCCCCCCCCCCCACCGCCACTCAAGATGGGGCCGTCGCTCAGATACGACGTGGACGCGCCATCGTCCAGGCTGGCGGCATTTTCACCGGCGCCGCTTCTGCTGCCGCTGACGCCGCCGCCGCTGACGCCACCGACCTCGTCTGACCTTGCTTGACCTCGAGGTCGACCCTCGTCAGGTCGACCGGCAGATCCGCTGCACCCCACCCACCCCTCTCCCGCCCACTACTACGGCAGCCGCGACCAACTGCCCAGCCGCCCTCTCTTGCTGCCCCTCCACGGCTGCCCCCCCCCCCCCCTTATTTTTTTTTGCCGTCTGCTGCCACCTACTGTCGCGCCTCTCTCCACTTCCGCCGCCACGTCGTTCACCTGATCGTGTTTTCCGCCGCGACGGCACGGCCGAAGCCGGTTCCTGCGATCGACGCTGCTGGGCGCCATGGTCGGAGGGAAGATGGTGGGGCCCCGGCCGATGGAGGCCGACGCGCTGGCGGCCGTCCTGCGGCGGCGCGACTCGCGCTCGACGCTCATCGTCGACAGTCGTCCCTTCGTGGAGTTCGCGTCGTCGCACATCGTCGGCGCCGTCAACGTGGGCAGCTCGACGCTCGTGAAGCGCCGCCTGCAGCAGGACCGCGTGAGCGTACGGGAGCTGGTTCAGCACGCGGCGCAGGTGGGCGAGCGAACGAGCGCGTGACGAGCGTGTGACACGCGTGTACGTATGTGCGTTCAACTTCTTTCGCACCACCACCGTACGTAGCCAACCGTGTTGATCGGAGGTGGCGGGGAAGGACAGCAAACGTAACACAAAGAGCAGTTCTAAAGAAATGAGTTTTCAATCTCGATTATTGAAATGTGCATATCTCCAGTGGCTTCCTAATATTGGAAGGAAAAGTGGTTCCAGACGGCCGCAGAAGCGCATCTTTAAGCGCGCGATGCAGGTGGCCGTCTTTGTTCGATGGCCAGCCAAAAAGCGGCTGGGAGAAAGACCAGAACTCACTGCAATGATGAGTTGTTTCTCACCCCGCGGCACGTAACTCACGGGTGATCGTCTAATAATGTTTTGGCCAGTAAATAAGTTCAGCTTTCCAAAAGCTCTCCAACCAGCTGTCACCCACCTCTTTATTTTAGCTTTTTGATTCCAGTCTGCCTTCAATCATTGCCCGAGGTATACATATTCTGGTTTTACCACATTTGGGTCCCTGGAGGAGATGCCTTCAGTTGTTTAGAGAACATGGTGTAATTAACTTGAGCCCAACCTTACGGCCCTATTTATTAAGTTCTCCGGTTGTTGTGAGGTGTCATGTTTTACAGTTTTATCCAGTATATCCATAAGAATAGGAGTAACGCACGAATTATGAACGTTATCCTACTCAAATTTTGATTTAAAGCTTTAGTGACTGCAGGGATTCATATTCTTGGTTCTTTCTGTAAAGTCACGGGACTTTACCGAAAGAACCAAGAATATTATCCCGCTCACTGAAGTATTATGCGTTCGCCAAATTAAAACGGTAAATATCTTCGAGGACAAGAGGATGTTGGAATCCATGCAGTATGCATGCCTGATTTCTCTCGCACGCACGTCGCTATTCTCTCTGAATTTATCCCCGACCGAGTGATTGGCATCGTGTCTTGGGACAAAGCATACATTCGGATCTCTTTGCAGAGTAGCGCGAGATCTTTTTCGTGTTGGAAAAACTGCCCACAGGAGCGGATATCACGGATAGTTTATAGATGCATGATGCACGCGTACATGAGAGAACACGAGCAAGTTCGAGACAGCGGATTGACTGTTGAGAAAAATAAGTGGGGGCTTGAGCAGGACACTTTGCTGAAAGGATCATGGCCAGAGGTCAAGACTGACGTTGGAATGGCAGTCAAAGGAGGAATCCGCGCTCAAAATGACATTGACTGGAGGACACGGAGCAGTCAAATCAGCTCTTGTGTGGGTGCCAAATGGATTTCTACATCGCAGGACCATGAGTGTTGGCAGGTCAGTTGGGGAGGCCTTCATCCAGCAGTGGATTGATCATGTCTGCTACTGCTGCTGTGGCATCACGCTCAATTCATGCTCTGAAAGTTTAGTTGAAATTGCCGTTGGCGTTCGGCTTATCAACCATATGGGGGCTGATCAGCCTTAAGTACTACTTCGTGGGAATTTAAGATTGCAAGTGCTTGTGTGTGTGAGCGGTAGTGTAGTGGTTAGTGTTCTGCGCTACAAACCTGGCGACCCTAGGTTCGATTCCCGCTCACATCCAACACCAATGGGCCTCCCCTAGGTCGAAACAGCTTTCAATGAGTACCTGGTGCAGCGTGCAAATATCGCTACGAGGAAGACGAAGGCAGTCGGCCGTGATGCTGGCCACCCACCCCCTCGTGTGCCGTTCCGGCCTTCATAGGTGCTCGCAAACAGCACTTGCCCCAACAGTCTGTTCGGGCTATACGGGGGTAGAATATTTGTGTTTGTGTTGTGTAAGTAAGAGCGTGCGTGTCGGGAGTGTCTCCATTGTGTTCACGTGGGTGCCGCGTCTTGCTTTCCTTCCTCATTACTTCACTTTAATAATATCCCAATGACGCAAGTCGCCTGACATCACGTACGTGCGAGCACGCACCCAAGTTGTCGCTCGATGCTGGTCAGACCGGCATCTCCTGCCCCCCCCCCCCACGACACTGGTCGCGAGTAGACGGGGCAGGGTTTTTACGAGCGAAGAGGAGAGCCTCCCAGGGAGGTGTTGGTTTGCTCGAGGCGCTCACGTTCTTCCCCGTTAAGACCGCTGAGCCAGCGGTAGCACTCAGCACGTCGTCACCACCAGCAGCAGCAGCTGCGTCCTCGTTTTCCTGGAATCGTCTCCTCCTTCTTCTTCGAGGCAGCTGCTGTCCTGGGAAACCCGCAATGTTTTTGTTCCAAGTTGCAAAACAGTGCACCGGTCGAGACAATGCGTTCACGTACGTGCGTTGGACATCTTTCGCGACGCACGTAGCCAACCGTGCTCATCGGAGGTGCGATTGTGGTCTCAGCTTTGTCACCGACGTGGTGAGGTATGGTTAAATAATCTCCCGCGATCGATATCGCGTGGGAGGCCTTCGTCTAGCGGTGGAATGACCAAGTAAGCAATTTCACCATTTTATAGCGAATCCTGGAAAACCCAGATCTGGGAATTGTCATTGCTTCCTCAAATAAAACACGGGCCACGTGCCACTCGACTGCCACACTGTGCCTATGAAGGGGTTGGAAATGGATCTAAAAAAGTTAATTTTCGAGGTGGCTAGGTAGCCCATAGGTTTGGATGCTCAGCTGGCACTGCTAAAGTCCTGGATTGAAATACAGGCAACCACCTGTGATTAAGGCAGTTTTCAAGTTTAGAGAGGATATGATCTTGGCCTGGTCACTCGCGATCCATCCTCTGTTCCATTCTTGGAAGATGTGCATGTTGAGGTCTGCTAGCCATGAGTAGGTCTTCAGGAGAGAGTTCGTGAAGTTTTGCTTTTCCTCCTCTGAATGAGCCCAGACCACAGTGGTTTACCATGTAACAACAGGTTGGGTTGTGTGGCCACAGTCGCACCGTGGCTTGTCTTTCATTTTCCATCCTCCAATAGGAAGCATCCAACAGATGGATACTTCGGCTCATGACACGGTGGCACGATAGCCTCATTTGTCCCGTGCGAATGAACGTATGTGTTTGCGCGGGCGCAGGTGGACACGACGGAGTGCCGCAGCGTGGTGGTGTACGACCAGAGCACGCGCGACGTGCGCCGGCTTGCTCCCGACCACTTCGTGTGCGTGCTGCTCGCCAAGCTGGAGCGAACCTTCCCCGGCGTCGCCCTGCTCACGGGTAACGCACGCAGCCACGCACGCACGCAGCCACGCACGCACGCAGCCACGCACGCAGCCACGCACGCACGCAGCACGCACGCAGCCACGCACGCACGCTTTCACGCGCGCGTTCACGCGCGTTTCGTGGGTGCTCACTAACGGCACTTGCCCCCGACAGTCCGGTTCAAGGCTGCACGGGGGGATCTCACGCGTTTACACAAAGTGAGTGCATGTGTAATGGCAGGGTGACACCTGCTGGCCAGCCTGGAAGGGGAATCACGGGTAGGGGCACGGTTAAGTAACAACCAATCAGAGAGGGAGATGTATCTGGGGTAAAGGTAACAGGTGGGGCTAGCAGAGATACTCCGGGAACCTGCTCGAAGGTTCCACGAGAGGGCGGGGCTGGAGGCGGAGCCAAGCCACGCCTGGGGGGATATAAGGGGGAGCGGACCCGGGGCTCGTGTGTGTGTGTGGGGTCCTGGCTGCGTCGCTGCTCGCCGACATCTCTCTCCGTCGTCTGGCCACGTGGAAGATCTCCCGCGTGGATTCCATCGCCGTCGCCGTCATCGTCACGCCGCCAGCCAGCGGCGTAGCCGAGTGGGGGCGATGGGACCACGCCGAGTGATTGGCTGTGTCTAGCCAGTAGAGATGTTAATAGCTCGTGTTGTACTCGGTGTGGGAGAGGATAAGTGTTGGCCTGTGTTGTGCCCAGCGTGAGTAATAAAGAAGAAGTACTCTCTACACGACGTGTCGCGGAAGTCGCTCAACAGACTGGTGGGGCAAGTGCTGTTAGCGAGCGCCTATGAAAGCCGGCACGGCACACAGGGGGGTGGGTAGCCAACGCCACGCCTGGCCACCTTTGTCTCCGCAGTGCTGATGTTTACACACCGCAGCAAGTGCTCACTTAAGGCTAGTTAGACCTAGGGGAGGCCCAGCAGCGGTTCAGATATTCTTTGCTGATGTCGGCCATGAGCATGAATCGAACTCGGGTAGCTGAGTTCACAGAGCAGTAAGCTCACCGGGTTGTGTTACAATATTTTGAGGTCTTGGCACGCGCGCGCACGCCCGTGCGTGTGTGTATGTGTGTGCAGTCTCATCACGTTATTTCGCTTGCCACTGTTGTGGCGATGGAGGTGGGGGGGGGGCGGCAGCAGTGGGGAGAGAGCAAGGGTTGCCCAAGGGACGTTGGTTGCCAGGCAGTGACCCCACAGGTACCGTGTTTACCAGTTTGGCTGCCAAACCATTGGTTCAGATGCTCTCTGTCGAGCCACTTTGTACAGAGCCAACAGTCCGATGTTTGCAATTTCCATGGGTCGTTCTTAACAAAGTGCATTGTCTGCAAATTACAGTTATCATCATCAACATTAGTAGACGTGTTCTATCCGCTGCTTGATGAAACCTCCCCATGCCACGGTGCCGATCAGGCTATCCCATTGGCGATTATGTCATGATGACTCCAGAAAAAAACAGGGCTAGAGCGACGAAATTGACGGGTTACAGAGTCGTCACTGGGAAAAGAACAACATGTCAGTAGCCACGGGAGTGGGGAAGCGATCGGGGAGTCCTCTGCCCAGCGGTGGGTAGATACGGGCCCGAATCAAACTCGTGCAACTTGGCAGCATCTCTGGCTCTCCACCAGACGCCGAGAAATCGGTTTGCACAGTCGCTGGCCGGTCAAAGTTTTTCATGTCGGCCTCGATCGCAATCCGCTTTCTGGATGCCCTTCCCTGCTGCCGGTCTGGCTGCCGCCGACGTCTTCTTCATCTCTGGCTTCTTGTTGTTGTTGTCGTCGTCGTCGTTGTGTTCAACAGCCACGGCTTGGCCGTCCGCGACGGACACCGCGTCACTCGGCGTCCCAGCGGAGCGCTTGTGTTTTCTGACGGCCCAGTGCGTGTACACGTGCGGCCCTTTGTCAATATTCGCTACTGGCTGAGGGACTTTCTCACACCATGTGGGTTGTGGTGCAGGGGGGGGGGGGGGCAGGAGGGTTTATTGGCCATGCTTCATCAGGTGGGTGGGTGTGGGTGGGCAAAGGCGAGGAGCATACATGTGATAGCATGAAAGTATAGTATAACAATGGGTTTACTGCAGTCAGCTGCCCACCACGTAGCCCGCTACTCGCATACCATTTTTCTTTCCGTGCGTGTCGCCCACAGAACCATTAGACGTATGTATGTATGTGTGCATGTTGAACTTCTTTCGCACCGTACGTCGCCAACCGTACAAATGGGAGGCTCGGGGAAAGGACAACAAACGAGACGACACTATAACATGCAATGTGACTTCCCGTGAACGTGTTTGCTGACAGCAGCACTTTGTCTGACAATCCTTGACACTGCTCATGAGAGCCAGAAGGTCAAAACGGGTCCAGAGCTTGCTTGTTGATACAAATGCTGCTTGCTCATATTGCCCTGGAAAGCCAATCGACTGCTATACCACTTGTACGCAGAGATACAGAACAGGCTTCTGCTGACACGTGCTGTCCTTCCTGATAGTCAAAGGGGTGGGCAGTTGGCGCTGAGGCTGGACACGATGACATAGTTGTCACTGATTGGCCTGTTGATTGAAATGTGCCAGGCAAAGCCATGCCCTTTTTGCACGCTGAAGTCACCAAAATTAGTAACCCAGATGCCACGCAGACACCGCCGCCACCAGAGCCACAGTCTTGACGACGGTCGCTTTGTTGCTCTGTACAAATCTCTCCTCGCGGACTGGGGTTCTAAGTTGCTGAGGCCGGGCTTTAGGCCTTGTCAGGAGAATCGTACCTCCGACTGAGCAGTGCGCCCGTGTTTTAATGCTGTTAAGTACGATTAACATCTCACCCATATGACCATATGCCACCTGAGCTTGTCAGATCTCGTGAAGCTCAGCAGGATGAAGCCTTGATGAGTGCTAGGACGGGCGACCAGCATCCACAACAGGCTGTTTTTGGCTGCTCTGGGGCTATGTGGTGGGCAGCAGAAGGCATTGCCGCGGATTCCATGTTGTACTGTACTTATATGACCCTGTGTCTCTGCTCCCCGCCTTCATCAACCTGCATTGACCAGCGTGGTGAAGTATGGCCACACTGTGCCACTGCTTACGAAAGCATCAGAAGTACTGTAATGTAATTTGAAGGCTATTTTCAGGAGAGCCTCCGTTTAGTTTACAGGGTGTTGCGTGGTTTCTGCAGCAGGGAGTTGGGTTGTGGGGTCAAATCCTTTCTGAGTGGGCCGTTTCAAAGGTCGTTGTAAAATGTGCCGATTTTAACAGATGAGCTGGCGATGATGCTGATGCTGCTGGATTGGCAATAGGTGCACAAGCACAACTCGCAACAAAAAATCTCAACACATTCGTCAATACGACCTGGGTATACTTTTAAAAGACACGCCCTGGTAATAACAGGCGTCGATTCGGTCCAATGGCCCCTCCCTTCTTTACAGCACACTTAAAGGCAATGACGAAGGGCCGTTTCCCGAAACGTCGCCTATTATATACTCTTCCCTTTAAGGCTGCAGTGTTGTCAAAGAAGGTGCAGATTTAAGTGTCACAGTGGTTGCAATGTACGGGCATAAAGTGTGAATTGCACAACGCCCTGCGAATGTGATATTCAACAGTGGAAGACTGTGTTGCCTGAAAGCTACGTGCTCACCAGCCTAGCCTTGACTTGCGTGCGACTGGATTGTGGAATTCAATTGGCTGGGATGCTTGCGTATCCTGGCGGCGTCACCGAAATAATACTCGCGTTGCTCTGGCACGTGATTCAAAGTTATACGGTGATTGTGTAATGTTTAGATTGTACTTGCGGACCCATTTGTGTTGATCCACTGCTGGACGAGGGCCTCCTCATGTCGTTCGTGGGGGTTTTGACCATGCTGGAGCATAGAAAGACAGTACAACAGTGGATTTTACTAAGCTGCCTTCTGTTGTCCACCACGCAGGCCTGTAAACCTATGACAACGTGTTTGTTCATGGTTCATATTCTTGGTTCTTTCGGTAAAGTCACGTAGAAGGGAAATAATAAAATAATAATAAAACATAATAAGATACAATTCTTATTATGTTTTATTTTAATAATGATAATAAAGCATAACAAGATAAAATTCTTATTATGTTTTATTTTTATTATTGTATTATTTCCCTTCTACGTGACTTTACCGAAAGAACCAAGAATATGAATCCCTGCAGTCACGAAAGCTTTAAATCGAAATTTGTTCATGGTTGTCACCCATCCAAGTACTGTGCAGGCTTCCATGCACATTCCAGGTGATTTAGTATTTAGGTTATCTAGAGAAAAAAAAAAACATTCATATTTAAAATGAGTGCAACTGACTTGAAATATCAAAAGCATATGGCCCATTAAAACCTGATTAAGGCAGCCGTGCACACCAGCTTGAGACATGTCTTCCGATACGATTATTTAAAATCGGTCGCCCTTGGAGTTCTTAAAAATGCCCATAATCCTAAAATTAATCAAAATGGTCTATTTCTGCTTGGCCAGTTCACTGTGCGGCGAGGCTCCACGACATGCAAATCGTGAAAAGTATTTATTCTGCTTTCTGCATTCTCCCACACTGCGACAGCAATAGGTAATGTTGAAGACATTGCCCTCGCATTCTTGAGCACGTACGGCAACGCGTGCTGTGCGTTCCGGAGTACGGCATGCAGCCAAGTGCGCGTAACCACCAGGTTCATCTTCTTGGTTCTTTCGGTAAAGTCACGTAGAAGGGAAGTAATAAAATAATAAAAATAAAACATAATAAAATCAAATAATTCTCACGACGTTTCGGCTACAACGCAAGCAGCCGTCTTCAGGTGAAGAATGAGACACTACCAAGTTATATATATAAGCTCCTAGCTTGGTAGTGTCTCATTCTTCACCTGAAGACGGCTGCTTGCGTTGTAGCCGAAACGTCGTGAGAATTATTTGATTTTATTATGTTTTATTTTTATTATTTTATTACTTCCCTTCTACGTGACTTTACCGGAAGAACCAAGAAGATGAATCCCTGCAGTCACGAAAGCTTTAAATCGAAACCACCAGGTTGTTTTTATTTCCATGTTTTGTAACGTTGCTTTGAGGGGGAAGTGCAAATCGTCGTTTCTTAAGTGGGCGACAAGGTCATACAGTCGCAACGTTTGTGTGTCGCAGCGAGAAGGCCCTAGGTTCGATTCCTGACTCGGATGCCTTTCATTTACGTGTGGCATTGGTATGTTCCCCCCCCCCCCCCCGTCCGTGTTTTGAATGGGTTTCTTCCGCGTTGTCCTGGTTTCCTCCCGTAGCTAAACATTAAACACACACACACAATGTAACTGGTATTAGGCCAAACATACCAATTCTACAATAAAAGATTCCTGCAAATTACTCAATTGGGATTACGCACAGGAGCAACATCGCCCCCGACTCCTAAAAAAAAAGATTCTTCAGACTCAGTGAGGCTTTCTTTAAAAAACAAGCGTAATAATAATAATAACGATTAACTGCCATCTTGTGCAAAATTAATAGCGGTAAATCACGTGGTTACGGAGCATTTGAGATGACTGTAAAACATTTTGTCTTACGTAAACACCGTTGACAATAGTATCTTAATCGGGGAATAAGTAAGATAAGAAGAAATGTCTTCTTACGTTAATCTTATTATTGGACGTCCATATCGCACGCTTGCAGGGTGGGGACATGTCGCTGCGGTTAGCGCACTGCACTGCGAACCTGGCGACCCGAGTTAGATTCCCGGCTACCATCGGTGGCCGAGTGACATCAGAACAGGCCCTGGGTCACCGCTTCACCAACCCACGCTGACCAACGTGGTGGAGTATGGTAGATATATAAAACATTAAACTAAAGTTTTTTGTTTTTGCTACCAGGTAAGGCCCACTGGGCTATGTGGCTCTTTTTTCAGAAGCGACCTGGCCACAAATGATAGCTCAACGAAGTGGCTTATCGTGTGGAAATTTATAGCTGCCAAAAAACTCTAAATGCATGACTTGACACAGTGTGGTGAGACATTCATTCAGCCCTGAATGAACATTAATTCAATGATTGCACAATGCACTAGGTTATTGGCAAGAATGGTGTGGAAAATTGCACGGTAATCAATGTCTCAAAACATTTACAGGACACAGAATATTCAGACAAAATCAACCGTGAACCCACAGTCCGTGACAACTTTTAACATTCCGCGGGGGTGAAAATCCCAAAATTCGTGAGTCCTGTGACTAAGAACTCACGGTGTGTCACAGACTTCAGTGACAGCATTCCCAACATTAACGCTACTTTACAAGTAGCATAATTTTGGTATTTTTTTTTCTCTGTTATGTAGGCATGTATGTTGAACTTTTTTTGCACTGTACATAGCCACAGAGTTCCATTCACCTATTAGAAGATGACATCTGGGCGATGATCATTGTGACCAACATTGTAAATGGATTGTCTTTTTTAGACGTTTTTGCTATAAGGCCATCCTTCAATGACTTACCATAGCAGACGATGTGACAGGTATTTACTGCCCATTTTAGAGAAGAAGTTGGTCATAAAAGTCCTTTCCTTTTACAAGTTTCTGGGTCTCCTTTGAAAATGTAATCATTTGTCTTGAAATGGCCTGGTGGCTCAGAGGTCAAAGCCTCAGGCCGGCAGCGCTTAGATCATGGGTTTCAATCCAGACAGCCGCCAGTGATTAAACCGGTTTCTCAAGTGTAATGCGTTGATGGGCTCAGCCCGGTCACCAATGACTTAACACGCAACAAAAAACCCTCATTGTATTAAATTTGGTTCTGCACTGAATTTTGTTCCAGTCTAGTTCTGCGTATTACAAAAAAAAATCAGTTTGAAAGCCACGTGACGCACATTCGTCTGTAGCAGGGCGGGTGGGGAAGTGCTGTCCACTACTTCATGGAAGAGAGTTTTCTCAGAAGCAGCTCTGTGGTGTCCACTTCAGCGAGCAGTTCTCGAACACAAAGAAGAAACCCAAAGATGAGTTTTCCGTCTTGTGATGGGGCTCTGATTGAACAATTGTTTTAAAGTTGGTTAAAAAGACAACATGCCGTGCAGCAATATGATTCTCCCTGTTGTAATTACGTGAGCTGTTGCGTTATTTTCCTCACGTGACTCACTGCCCCTTTAGCCGGGCGCTGGTGGCGCACGTGACCTGTAACCCCGCACTGTGAAGGCAGCAGCGAGGGTTGGTGGGTCACACATTCCTGAAACTCCCAAACCCTCTGTCCCGCGAGGTCGCCATCTCCTGGTGGGGCCACGGTATGACGGCAGTACAGCAAGTGGACTAATTTTCATCTGTATTCCATCTGTATGGGGTTGTGACTTGCCCTACGGTTCCCCTCCCACGTGTTGGTTTTCTCCATGTACAGTACTTTGAAACTATAAACTAAACCATTTTTTTTTTATTTTACCAAGTAAGTCCCACTGAGCTATATAGCTCTTTTTCAGAAGTGACCTGGCCACAAATAATAGCTCAACGAAGTCGCTTATCAGGTGGAAATGTACAGCATCCAAAGACTAAACGCACGTTTAAAAATGCGGAGTGATAAACCGGAGAACCCTGAAAAATTTCCACATGACCATGGGGAGAACATGCAAACTCCAAATAAGCAGGCGTCAGCACTGTATACTAGGCGAGGTAGTTAACATTTTGCAATTGTTGGTAGCGCCACTTCTGTCTGCGGTTGCTCACGCCAATGAATCTCCCTCGCAGAGAGTGAACGAAAACTGCTCGCATTCATTATTTGAGCCACCCACACAACCTGAAGGCTCGCGAACACCCAGGCTCTCCCAAAAGTTGTCGCCTCGCCCCCCCCCCCCCCCGCGAGGCTCAGCATGAGCCCCTTGGTGCATGCTTCCTGAGCCACACAGACCCAGGGTTTGAACTCGGGGGCTTCCCAGCGGTGCTGGCCGAGTTCCCCTGCACGGGCATCGGGCGCCGTGAGACCACAACGCGAGTGCAGGCTGCCTGCAGATGCTCACGAGAAAAGCATGCGCCGGTGAGGTCATGGCGCCTGTGAAGTGCAGCTGGGGAGTGGCGTTTATATGGGTGGTGGTTGGGAGGTATGGGGGGGCGGTGTGGGGGGGGGGGTTTGCGAAGAGGAGATGACTCAATTTGTTTGGGGTTACACCTTGTGCAGCAACACACACGCATAACACGCGCACGCAAGCACACACGTGCAAACGCACACTCTAAACGGGCGCGCGCTTTTGCACGCACGGTGCAGCATATACGGCGCGGTCCGTGTGCAGACACCCAAACTGATTTCTAATGATCCTCTTAAATTTCTTGTCGGCAAATCGGACCACCTGTAATTGGACGAAGCGACTAGAATATTACGTTGGACTTGCACCCCATCTCTCCTTGCCAAAAACATCTGGCAGTTCACCAGAATTGGTTCAAGGAAGCCTGCGCACTGATGAGACATTGTCGAAACCACTCCAGAATGTTCTTGTATTGAACAAAAGCCGCTGAAATTGTGCACTCCCAGAATTCCTTGTGTTTGATGGGAACCGTCTGAAAAATACTTAGTTTTTTTATTTGGAGGAACACGTATGAAGGAGATATATTGCCTGCTTATTTATGATGTTGGACTAAGTGTATCAGGAGAGTGTTAAGTGGATTGAGACCGGTGTTTATATATCTTACTTCTTCAAGTTACTTTAGTGGAGTATCTCTAAATGAATCAACACTCCACATGCAGAAAAGCGTGTAAACACGCAATGCCCGTACACACACACACAGACTCGTTCGTGTGTGTGCGTGTGTGACCGTGGAATGTGTCTGTGTTTTCGTGCTTGCACACGTGCGCATGAGCTAATACGTGTGTGTAAGCTAATACATACATTTGTAAGCGGACATAAATGCGTATGTACGTACGTGCTTGCATGTGTACAAGCTTGTGTGTGTGTCTGCACATAAGGAAATCGCCCTTCAGCCACAGAGGAGCGATGCTCACAACAACGAGCAGAACGCCGTTTGGCTAAAATGCTGAAAGTTGGCACAGTGGGGATTACCGTTGGTGCATCTCTACCAGTCATCTGGAAAGCACATCAAGCGATATCTGAACCGGTCCCGGGCCTCCTTGGCCTCCCCTAGATTGAATCGGCCTCAAACAAGTGCCTGGTGAAGGCGTACAAACATCAGCGCTGGCGAGAGAAACGTGGCCGGGAATGGTGTTGGGCACGCCACCCTTTCGTGCGTCGTGCCAGTCACAACGATTGCTCGCTGACAATGCTTGCCCCCAACAGTATATACGGGTAGGGAGGAGAGGATCATTGTCTTTCTGTATGCACGTGTCTGCTGCACGTGTGTGCGCGTGCAGGGGGCTTTGCTGCGTTCTCCGCGTGTTTCCCGGGGCTGGTGGAGGTGGCTCGGCCGCCCGCCCCCCTCCCCTCCAGCATCTCCCAGCCGTGCCTCTCCTCCTCCTCCTCCTCCTGCAGCCTGGGCCCCACCTGCATCCTGCCGCACCTCTACCTGGGCTCGCAGAGGGACGTGCTCGACCGGGTGAGAGCGACACGCACACAAAGACAAAGGCTCCCCTACCCCCCCCCATATAGCCTTTAAGTGCCGTTGGCGAGCACCTATGAAGGCCGGATCAGTACACGAGGGGGTGGGTGGCCAGTACCACGCCCGACCGCCTTTGTCTCCCCAGTGGCGATGTTTACATACTGCACCAGGTACTAATTTGAGGCTTAGTCGACCTAGGGAAGGCCCAGGACCGGTTCAGATAATCGTCACCGGTTTTGGCCGTGAGCGGGAATCGAACTCGGATCGCCGGGTTCGTAGCGCAGCGCGCTAACCGCTACACTACCGCTCCCCGCACAATCACTCGCACACAATCACACTTTCACACACTTACAGACACCCGCACCTCTGATGAACACGGCTGGCTACGTACGGTGGGAAAGAAGTTCAACATACATGCAGTTCAACATACTTACACGCAATTTCATGCACATACATACACACACATTCACACTTCTATATACACACACACGCATGCCACAAATGCACAAACGCAACAATCACACTTGAACACGTTCACTTGTGCACATTAAAAGACAAAGCTCCCTCATATATTATTGAAGCGACCGTTCGGGCAAGTGCTGTTAGCAAACGCCTATTAATGCCGCCTTGGCACATGATGAGTGGTGTGGCTAGCTGGCCGCTGTTGTCTCGCCGTTGCTGGATTGTTTACGTTCAGCTCCAGGAACTGATTTTGAAGCCGAGTTGAACCAGGGGCAGCCCAGAATCTATTCAGATGTCGCTCACGGTTAACGCCCACGAGTTAGTCGCGCATTGCACTAACCACCGCGCCACCGCTCCCCGTGCACAGTCAACAACAACATCAACAACAACCGTGATTCCCCACGAAGTGGTGGTGATGTCACCACGGCGCTTGTGCCAGGCTAGGTGCACTTTAAGGCCACGTGAAGTCTCAACGCCCGCTGGCTGGAGGTCACGGGACAGACCCCGGTGCCATGGGTTGGCCGACTGAGATGACTGGCCGATGCATCACCTGTGCACATTTACAAAAGACAAAGATCCCCCCCCCCCCCCGTATAGCCTGAACAGACTGTTTGGGCAAGTGCTGTTAGCGAGCAGCTATGAAGCCGGCACGGCACACGAGCGGGTGGGTGGTCAACACCACGCCCGGCCGCCTTCGTCTCCCCAGTGACGATGTTTACACACCGCAGCAGGTCCTCATTTGAGGCTGAGTCGACCTAGGGGATCCCCAGGACCGGATCAGATAATCGTCACCGGTGTTGGCCGTGAGCGGGAATCGAACCCGGGTTGCCGAGTTTGTAGCGCAATGCGCTGATCGCTACACCACCGCTCCCCACATTGACACACACAATTACATGCGCGCACGCACACACACACACACAAGCACTCATGATGAATGACACAGGTGTGTGGTGAAGTCAACAACTCGCACAGTGCCTCTGTGTCCGTGCTAATGATTTTGAGCTCTGTAGCAGAGCAGGTGCTCATTTTATGTCAAGTCGACCTATGGCAAGCTCAGAGCAGATCCACTTAGCAACTGGCACTGCTTGCGTGTGAAGTGACCAAGGATTATTATCCTTGAGACTCACGGTTTTGGGTGTCTCACGTCCACGAAATGGATTCTCACGTTTCTCGTCGTTGTTGTTGTGGTGGTTGTTTTACCTGATGTAAATACCTCAACCCAGCCCTAATTATTGCGGTCCACGGGCAGCTGTTGCCGATGATTCAGGGTCATATTTAAGGGTGAGTTCCGACAGTTGTGTCGTTCCTTGCAACCTTTTCTATGAGAAAACAGTGGGAAACGAGTAAAAAAAAGTTATCCAAGGTTATTCTTATTATTTCATTGAGAGTGGGGGTGTTCGCATAGTGGTGTACGTTAACCCATTGCTGCTACACAAACTCCTTCATTAACCCCCCCCGCCCCACTTATTTTGTTCGAAGTAGACTCACCCTTGCCTCCTGCGTGACACGCGATTCTGTGCCTCAGTTGCTGGACTTTCAGGCTCCAGTTTCTTCGGAATCTTTGGTTTCTGTCTCCATTTCTCGAGTTTTAGTTTCAGCCTTTTTTGGAGTCAACCCCCCCCCCCCCACCCCGAGGTCTTTCAGCAGGGGGGCCTCACGGCTTCGAGATCCCCTTTTGGGGGTTTGACGTGCACGTCGTGAGTGGTCAGCGATCGAACCAAGGTTGCCGGCGCTTGGCCGTGTTGCGCCCGTTTGCTGTCGTGCCACGCACTCTCTCAAGCAAGCGCACGTGCACGTGTTACATATATGTATGTTTTTTTAAAAACATGAACACGGGTACACGCGCAGACTCGCAACCACACACACGTGCTCGCTTGCGCACGCTTCGACGTGGGAAACTTTTGTTGTCCACGCAGTATAAGTGGAGCTGCTGTGGCATCGAGCAATTCTTTTTGGGTGGCAGGGCGGTGCAGTGGCAACACATCAAGAAGGGCCTGGGTTTGATCACCATCTCTGGCACCGATCTGCACGGAGTTTGTACGTTCTCCAGCTGCTCTGCTTGGGTTCCCGAGTTTTCCGGTTTCCTCCCCAAGAAAATCAAAAGCTTACAATGTACATGCTGTTGGCCAAACATCCCAATGCTGAAAAGTGACCTGCAAATAACTCAATTGGGATTAAACACTGCAGCAGTATCGCTCCCAACTGAAAACTTGGCAGGACCCTCCTGAAAAAGAGAGCTGAGACTCGGTAAGGCTTCCCTGGTTAAATAAGTGTAATGATGAATCGATCAATTGTCTAATAAACTGTGTCGGCTGGTTATTATGGAGCTTTGAGATAAGTTCATGCCTAGGAGTAAGATGGATTGTGGCAGGGTGGGATTGTAAAGGGATGACGTGGGCATGGGGAGGCCTTCATCCAGCAGTGGATAAACAATGGGTGATGACGATGACGTGAGCCTATTATGCATTTATACCAAGTACACTGAACAGCGTAAATCTCAAATCGTCAACAAATTCATAAGTGCATCAAGAAAACACACACACATAAGTGCACTAAGATCCTCCGTACAGACTGTTGGGGCAAGCGCTTTTTAGCGAGCACCTATGAAGGCCGGCACGGCACACGAGGGGGTGGGTGGCCAGCACCACGCCTGGTTATTATTTTAAGTGCACGTACACACGCGCACCAACACGTGTACCAACACGCGGATGTGCTCACACTTGCAGGCAAACACATAGTGTACATTTATGCATAGTTACGCGCACACACCGTGTAAACAATGACATAAAGCCAACTAAATACGCTCTTTCATAAATGCACGGACCGTGTTAGTAACAGCCAGACGTAGGAGTGGTGTAATAATGATTAGCACGGGTACAATTACATTCCCTTTTGTCAGTCCACTGCTGGACAAGGGTCTCCCTACGCCGAGTTATAATGCCGTACTTCACCACCGCGCCGGTCACTGCGGATTGGTGAAGGCGGGGGAGCATAGACGCGGGAGCGTGAAAGCACAGTACAGCACAACGATCGATTGTTTTGCAGCACTGCCCTGCTCATCCGTGCTCAAGCACTATTCCTGCTCATCCGTGCTCAACGTCTGAGATCTGACCAGATGGGGCACAATTCAGGTGTATTATTTCTTCACGGGCGAAGACGATAATGATGATGATGGTGAGGGAGATGATCTCACTGCCAGTGACCTCCCAGGTGTCATTCCTAGCATCATCAGCAGCGATCGCTGTCTGTGGCTGTCGGGCAAAAGCCGCTCCTATGTTGTTAAAAATAAAACCAGTATTTCCCTGCTCGAATGAGTTCTGCGGCGTCGCTCATCACCTACGTTGAGTGGTCTGAGCCAGCGCTGGATATTTCGTATCCTCGTGGCAAGGGCCAAGTCTCTACTTCGGATCAGTGGTGGCACTGGGCCCAAGCAAAGCAAGCAAAAGCTTCGGGTTCCAAGCGGAGCAAAGGGCCTTCCAGATGAACTGAAAAAACAGGGGTGCGTGAAATATCAGCTAAAAAGTTAAATTTTCATAAACAAAACAAGCCAATGAACGTAAACGAGCCAATTCATCTTGGTCATCTCTGTCTCGTCTGCATCTCTCCTCACATATCACGACATCTCAATCTTGTTGCTTTTGCCTACATTTCTCTTGTCTCGAAAAGGAGGCTACCCCAAAATAATTGCGTGCTTAAGGTTCCCCAATGGCCTAGCACTACCACTATTGCTTTCTTACAAAGCGGTACTCGATTTATCGACCCCCCCTCCCCTAAGGAATGATGGGCCATTGTCGACCACAGACTGTGATTTTCGCTCGTGGCGGTCCGGTCGCCGAGTCAGATGCTTTACTCACAAGGCCACCCGGCCAGATTTCACTTGTCCTCAAATAAGCATCTTCCACAAATGCATGTTGACATGCGTTAACATGCATGTCAACATGCATCACTGCAGGGCTGTGGTGGATGAATGGCTAAGAATGCTCGTCTAATGTCCATGTTGGAACACTGAGCCCAACGCTGGTAAGAAGCTGGGTTCCATTGCGGGTTCACGTGGCGATGGCACACAATGGCCAATTCTCTTTCTTCTTCTTCCTGCTTCTTCTTCTTTGTGGTGGGGGGTTGGATCAGCCATGTTTGCAAGTTCACGTCGAGTTTGGGGGTTGATCCAGTGGACTGTTACAGAAGTAGCCTCCTGGTGGGGAACATCTGAAACGCTGCCTGCGAATTGATCGAACCTGGCATTGGTGTTCCTGTGCGGTCCGTGGTTTGGAAGCTGACTTGGCGACTGCAGTCGCACTGTGGGACATTGACACTTGCGATAAATCCGCAGACTCACACTGTGGAGAAATTCTAATATCAGTTGCCATTGGCTGCACAATCGAACCTTAATTTAACGTTGCCCAGCTCCGAAGGTTCATTCAATCGATAGCCACTAAGTAGATGACTTTATTGCACATTTCAAGAGTGCAGTTTTATTGCGCGTGTAAAATACACCATTAAAGGACATCAGTCGCAGGCTTGCGAGTAAATTTCTTATTTGTTTCAACATTGGCAAATGCGACTGCTGTTTGTCGACAGAATTGAAATATCCATAAATTCCGATGGAGCGTATTGCGGAGTGGGATTGATGACAAAAGGAAGATACTGCAACGCCGCAGGGGAAGTACGCGGGGTGGCTTGGGACGTTTCTTCCTGCTCAGTACTGACCCTGCTCGCCTTATCACCCGGCGAGGCCTCGGCCTGGAATCGTTTCACCTGCGTAACCTGTAGACTTGCCTGTAAAACATGTAAACATAGACGTGGTTTAGTTGCAGGATGGTCCTAGACCAGGGGTCGGCAACGTGCGGGTCCAGAGGCGTGTACGGCTCTTTAAGGACCTCTGCTTTCGTGACGTTACTTATTAAGCGCCAGCTTCTCGGATTTATTCACGTGCATTGCAACTCTTGTTTTATACCGAATTTGAAAAAAATGTCTCTCATTATTATTCTGGTTGCCGACCCATGTCCGAGACTCATGACTTACTCTGCGGATGTCTCCAAGCTGCATGGGTGCTGCGGTGGGGAAATGTTAACTCCCTCGCCTGGTATGCAGGAGGTCGTGGGTTCGATCCTGACCCTGTATATTTGGAGTTTGCATGTTCACTCTCCTCGTGGCAGCGTGGATTTTTCTCCGGGTCCTCTGATTTTTTCCCTCCATATTTAGAAACATTAATTTAGAGTGTTTGGCTGCGATATATATTCCACGTGATAAGCTTCTTTGTTGAGCTATCGCTTGTGGTCAGATAGCTTCTGCAAAGAGCTATATAGCTAAAATGGGCCTTCCCTGGTACAATAAATACGTTGTCTGATCCACACGTGTCCCTCCTCCTCCTGTGCTTGTGCAGGGGCTGATGCTGCAGACGGGCATCGTGTACGTGCTCAACGCCAGCACGTCGTGCCCGCGCCCCGACTGGCTGCCCGAGAGCCGCTTCATGCGCGTCCCCGTCAACGACGGCTACGGAGACAAGATCCTGCCCTGGCTCGAGCCGTCCGTCTCCTTCATCGGTGCGCGCGCCCCCACACTCGTGCATGCACCCACGCGCGCGCACGTATGAACTCGCGCACGCACGTCCGTGGACTCTTACGCACGTATGAAGGTCTCCTTCATCGGTGCGCGCGTCAACGCGCTTACATGCACAAAGACGACAAAGATTCCCCCTCCATAAGGTCTTAGCACAGACTGTTGGGGCAAGCGTTGTTAGCGAGCAGCAATCTACGAAGGCCGGCACAGCACACGAGGGGGTGGGTGGCCAGCTCCACGTCCGGCCGCCTTTGTCTCTCTGGTGGCGATGTTTACACTCCGCACCAGGTACTCATTTGAGGCCGAGTCAACCTAGTGGAGGCCCAGAACCGATGCAGATAATCGTCACTGGCTTTGGCCGTGAGTGGGAATTGAACTCGGGTTTGCCGGGTTCGTAGTGCTGTGTGCTAACCACGACACTACCGCTCCCCATTGCACACACACACACGCGCATATACACGGACGTGTGTGTGCAAACTGAACTCGCGAACGCACGCACGCACGCCCCTTGGACTCTTACACATGCACGCACATCGTCGTCGGCGCGCACTGTCAACGCTCGTGCACACGGACTTACACTGACGCACACGCACACATACAGTACGCGAGCATGCGCGTGCACACCCAACTTTTTCCGGGTCGCTTGTTACGTAGACTGGAGGAGGCCTAGAGACAGGTTCGAAGAGGGGAGACTAAGCTGGAATTCGGAAGTTAGAGATGAATGCAATGGCTCAGCATTATCATCGCACAACGTTGCATCACCTGGACAAGGAGACGACTACACGGTTCCACAAGCACCTCGTGTTGTTGTCGTATTTTATGGCTCACCGACCCAGCTCAAATTGACAGGTGGTGAATGTAAATTTGATGTGTTGTTATTGTTAAGTGTGGGTTTATGCACAATGTTTTATTGCCATTGGTTGATGTTCGATGGTCGATGGGAGAGTTCGTTGGTGCGGCAAGTTGTACGTGAGAGTCGTTGATGCAAGAACGCTGAAGATGACCGCTGTTGCGATGTAACCCGCGTACGATGAGGCTTTCTAAAGACCTCGCCGCGTATCGTGGGTGAGATCGGCGACGGTTAGCAAGTGCTGATGTGGCCGCATGCTGCGTCGTTCTGCAGATCACGTGCGGGTGTCACAGTCGCGCGTCCTCGTCCACTGTCTCGCTGGGATCTCGCGATCGGCCACCGTGGCCATCGCGTACGTCATGCGGACCACGGGGCTATCGTCCGACGATGCTTACCGGTGGGTGTGTGCACACAATGATCACTCTGCGTAGCCTTGGTAGACTGTCGGGGCGAGTGTTGTTTGTGAGCAGCACCTATGAAGGCCGGCATGGCACGAAACGAGGGGGCGGGGTGGCCAGCACCACGCCCGACCGACTTTGTCTCCCCAGTGGCGATGTTTACACACTGCACCAGGTACTCGTTTGAGGCTGAGTTGTCCACTTAGGGGAGGCCCGGGACCAGTTCAGATAATCGTGACTGGTGTTGCCGGGTTCGTAGCCCAGAGCGCTAACCGCTGCACTACCGCTCCCTACGGTGTGTGCACACTCACCCATACTCTTGGTTTGTGGGCCATTATGGTCATGTTTGCACAGCACACTGGGTACTCATTGTAAGACTGAGGAGAAAATGTATTCGCCCAGGTAAACAGTGGAGTGACCTTTTTGATGATCGCGTGAGAGGGTTAATAGGTTAATGATAATCAGTGTGCGTTATAATGAGTGGCTAGAAGAAGGAACTAAGAATCGTTGTCACCCCACACTTGACAGCTTCGTGAAGGAGAAGCGACCCTCCATCTCGCCAAACTTCAACTTCCTGGGCCAGCTGCTGGAGTACGAGCGGGGCCTCCGTGGCTCGAAATGGAGCGGCATCTCCATTCCCCAGAACTGCCTCGGCCCTGCGACGCCTCTGCCCGCCATTAGCCACGAGCGAGATCCAAACGACACGCCGGAGGACGCGCGCGCGACCGGGAGGGCCGCCGCCTCGCTGTGCAACGGCAGGGGACACTCCTCCTCCTCCTGCTCGTCCTCCTCCTGCTCGTCCTCCTCCTCTTCTTCGGAGGGCAGCGGCGGTGGCCGAGTGGGGCCCCCGGTCCTCATGACGAGTCCGCCGCCTTCGCCCGAGCGCGTGCACAAGTACAGCCTCCTCAAGCGGTCGTTCTCGCTCAACCTGCGCTCCACCGTCTACCCGCCCGGCGGCGGCGGCGACTCGGCGCTGACGATTCTCACGCCGACCGAGGACACGGCGCAGGCGCTGCGCGGGTTTTGCCTCCGCGAGAGCCCCGCCGGGGACGGCAGCGACGGGGAGGACGGAGGCGGTGTCGCGCGGCGGCCCAAGAAGAAGCTCTCGCCCGACGAATCCACACCGGTGAGCCCAATGGCCGTCTTTCCGCGCGGCCAAGCCAACGGCTACTGCGACGCCCCGTGGCTGCCCGTCTCCTGCGACGGCGTTGGGGCGGCGGGCGGCGTCGCGCCGGGCCTCTGGGACCACTACCGGCTGCTCTCTCCCAGCACTCCTTCGACGCCACCCAGCCCTTGGGAGAGCACCCCACCCCCCTTGCCGGGACCACCTCTTGAATTCCCGCCGGGCGCTCCTACCTCTCCGTTCGTCGCTCCGTTCCCCGGTCCCCCACCCGACTCGTCGCACCGACCCGCGAAGGCGTCGCACCCGCGATGCGCGCGGTCGCCCGCCGCCGATGGCCGGCAGAGTTTGGATTCCCCGCAGCTGCTGGTCCTCGGCATGGCGTCGGTGTCGGCCAGCGGCGAGGACGGGAAGGAGAAGAAGCAGGAGAAAGTGGAGCCGCAGCCGCCGTTGTTGTTGATGTGCGGTGGGGGGGCGGGGGCTGCGCCGGGTGGAGCGCGGCCCTCGGGAAGCTGCCGGCCCGAGGAGCCCCCCTCGGCACAACGCTGCGGGAGCGAAGCGCTGGAGCTCGAGGAGTCGGTCGTCGGCAGGGCGACGTCGGCGGACGGTGCCGAAGTGGGCGCGACGCCGGGCCCGAACGCTAACCCGAGCCTGCATTCCATTAGCAAGCAGTCAAGCCTGGAGGCCATACAGGTACTGTGAGCAGGGTCACAATTGGGAGAAGGGGGCAGCCCGCTCGCTCGCGATGAGGCTTCAGAACACCAGAGTTACAAATGGCCTGGATTTGAGGCCTGAAGCGTGTTTTGTTCACTGCTGCCTGGTGGTAGTGACGGTGTTTGTTTATAAGCCGTGGTGCTTAGCGGATGGCACAGCAGAGTGAGCGGCGGATCACATAGACGGCGGGCAGCAGGCCGCGAGTCGGCCATCTTCTTGAAATGCACTCCGTGAAACCTGCCGAGTGCGTTGTGGTTTTTCTTTGAAATATGATCTTGAGTGACCAGTTGCAAGGCTACTACCCTCCCACAAATGTGTTCTGAAGTCCAAACATCTGCAATCCTGAGAAGAAATAGAAGAAGAATGAAAAAAAGGTTGACAAACGATACTCTTCATACCAAAAAAATTGCTGGTTTGCAGGAGGGAAGCGCACTTATTGCTGCAAATGCAGGTGATTTGCCTCCAGGTGTTCTGAAGACTCTACAGACTGGACTTGGCCTGGAACAACTGTAAGGATTGAAACGGCTGCCCTCCTCTGAATAAACTACAAAGACGTTCTGTCGGCCAATCTCTGAGCAGCTGCCGTGGAAGTCCGCGTGAAACATTTTATTTATTTTTAAACATTTTTTTCCCAGGACAGATGTGAGACTCTGCCTGTGTGGTGTCTATGTGCATGGTGATACTTTGGCGGATTAGGCATCGTGTTTGCGTGTGTGTGTACCTTACCGTGGGTTTGCGCGCGTGTGTACATAGGGTATGTGTGCGTGAGAGAGAGGGTGAGTCTCTGTGCGTGCTTGTGTGTGTGCGCGTACTTGCGCATGCCTGACTACCTAACTGCATGTGCGCGTGTGCGTGCCCGTGTCTCTGTGTGTATACCCGTGTACATGCTTGTTCACGCACGTACGTTTTTGCATGCATCTGTGCATGTACGTGCGTGTCCCTGTATGTATGTGCATGCACATAACTGAAGCGGGGCTTGCATGCACACTTACGGATGTGTGAGCGTGGGTATGAATGCGTGTGCGTGCGGGTAGAGATGTTTGAAGGTGTGTGAGTGTGCACGTGTTAAAGTGTGTGTGTGTCTCCTCTCCAAAGCTTTATGTGATAATTCATCTGATGATTATAATTAATGTCTACGAGAGGATCAACAACAATTTGTGTTATTAAGGTGATTATTTATGAACACTCCTGAAGCACTTATGACACAATTCTTCTCTTAATCTGGAATTTGGATTTAAGGGATTTAAATTATAATTTATTTACGTTGTTTCACTTTATAATTTATATCGGTCGTAAAACTGTAGGTCTCTGGGAACTTCTGTATAGTTTTCAGTTTTCGCTTCTTTGTACAAACTATCGTGTGTATTTCGTATACATACACACACACAATGGCGAAGACGTTTTAAGAATGTGACACGTAAAAAACTCGCTCTGACCTAAATAATGAGCTTATTTGAAACCCCAAATCCTTGGGCAAAAAGGTGGGCTGTATTAAAAACATCCGCAGTCCTTTGGAGTTTGTAGAAAATGTCAATGTCCTTTTCTCAAAGCCCCTTGGATGTAGAAGTAAAAATGCCCAAGCAACTCCTCTGAGCCTTGGCCACGTGCAACTGTAACTGTGAATATTACGACAAGATGAAGATGTTTTGTCTTATCAAATGCCACGATCGTAGCAGCAATTGCAGCAACGTGACTGAACTTACACGTTAATCTGTTTGGGCTGTGGTATTTACTGCATAGAAGGCATTTGTGGTCAGAAGGAGTTACAGATAACAAACTGTGGATGTAAGGACTCTCTTACATTGTGTGTGTGTGTATATTTACACAAACGTTGTGTTTTCCATGACTGGGTAGCCATTGATGTTATAAGGCCTGGAGCTTGGCAGAACACACTGGAGACAAGGGCCTAGCGGATCTGAGGTTCGTTAGCCCAGGGACATGAGCTGCTGGGAGATTAAAAGCGCCGTTCTGCCCCGGCCTAATCTCCAGGCCTGACCCAAGCCTTGATCGAACCCCTGCCACTGATTAGGCTGGGTCAGCAAGGGATTTGGGGCAGGCAGGGCCCACATTTAAAAATCAGAAGGTTCCCATGAAAACAAAGTTTGTTTAATTACATTTTTATGCTAATTATATCGCCAATCTATCGCGTAAATATGTAACCGCCACCCAACACGTAAACAGAACGTGGCCAATTCGAGAACCAGTACAGCACACCGGTGTGTTGGAGAGCCAAGCCACAACATTTACAATCTGAGTACGACGTTTTGCCAGTAATTACAACTCGCTTCATCAGGCGACAGCCAGATTTGTGGAGAAGTATAACCCTTACTAGTTGGCTGTGTCGGGTGGTGGTGGGTTTTAACGACACATATTTACGCGATCTAACCCAAAAAACCTCTATTACGGATTATATTGGTCGCGAAAGCCTACTGCGTGTTAAACTAAATCGCCAATGTTACCTTCTAAAATCCCTGTTTTATTATCCAGTTTTTGTTTTGTTTCCTCATCTGACATAGGATCCACCGTCCTGCCTCCTGAGGCATGCGTCCCGGGGGGTAGAGATAGCTAAAGTCACGTAGGTAAAAAAATTAAATTAAAATTAATAAAAGTAATAATGTAAATAAAATAAGAATTTCTATTATTACTTTTATTAATTTTATTTTTTTACCTACGTGACTTTACCGAAAAAACCTAAGAGTATGAATCCTTGCAGTCACGAAAGCTTCAAATCTAGAATTAAGAGATAGCTAAATCGTGGCCGGCGGTCAGCGTGGACGAGAGGTGTGAGGGCATTATTTTTGTTAATACGAGCTCCACCATCTCTTGAGCGGCCACGCCACGGCCCTACAGAGTGTGCAGGTTGTCCCTGGGCCAGCGAGACCTCGAAGCCAGGTCGCTGCAATACCTCAAGAATAAGTTATTCACGGCTCATCCGAGTTTTGTGCTCGCTCCGACAGGGGTTGGGAGACCTCGTGACGCTGCGCGGGGTCTCCCCCGCGCTCCACTTTCTCTCTGTACCCTGCCCTTGTTCTCTCCCGAAACGCACTTATCTTCCTCGCAAGTTTTTACGTGTTCATTTACATTTGTTTTGGTTTTGCTTATTTTTCTATCGCATTCCTCTCTATCGCCCTCCTAGTTCATCCTATCTATAGCTCTCTCGCGACCTTCATATCGCCCCCTCGCTGTATCTTGGCTTCCCTTGTGTTTCTCTGCATCTTCCTGTGGCCCATTTCTGAATGCAGCTTTCAATCGATTTGTGTCTGCTAACGTTCTCCCTCTCCGTCCCTCTCTCATCCTTTCTCGTTCCGAGACGACTGCAAGTTCAGCCTCCATTTTATTTAGAGAGGCAAAACGCCGTTGTCTTTAAAGATATTGCACTCACCGCAAAGAACTGTAGCGACACGACCGCATTCTATGATAGCTGGCGTCAAACTGTGCAACACGCCCTCCCGCATAGCCTTGTGGGAGCCTCGGTAGCAATACATGTATTTTATTTTAGTTTTTCAGATCCGGAAGAAGTACACGTACGTCATCGGAACGGGAACGGGTTCAACCATCCACCTTTCCACCCTCTTGGTGTATCTCCACCTCTGCCTTTGCTCTTTAATATTTGTCTCCTTTCCCCCATCGTCACCTCTATGGTATGAATGTGTGTTCCGGATGCTGTCCTTGTTGTGCAATACAAGCGGCCGTTTGGCCTTCTCGCCGTGGGCCCGCCCCCCTCCCTTTGCGCTGTGTTGTTGTGCACACGCAAATTTACCGTCTCGGCTCGAACCGCCGCGTTCTACCGCGGCAAGAGGCCCGTTCCTCCAGTCACACGTGAGACAGGGTGGGGGTTTCGGGAGGATGGATGTCGGGGTTAGGAGGGTGAACAGTGGGGGGGGGGGAGGCCCAGACAGCTGAGCCTGTCTCGGGCCCGTTAATGTGCACGTATTTAATTTTACTTGATGCGATTTAAGTGCGTGATTTTTCGTATTTCTGTGTGTCCCCTTGCCTAGTGCACCTACATTTGTGATATGATTATTGTAAACGCACGTGCGCGCACGTGAACACGCAGGGACAGTTTCAAAAGTGCAGTCTCGTGTACGCTTGCATACGCATGCACACGCATCACGTGTACATGTGCAGTCAACTCTCGATTACCCAGGGCAGTGGGGGTATGGGTGGCCTGGATTAAACGCAAAACGTACGTAAGCTCGGCTATGAAACATGTATTGCTTACATGCGTAGAATGGGGGCGAAGTCGTAGAATCTGTCATCTGTTGCTTTTTAGTTTGCGGCCATGTGGGCACCGAATCATTGACCCTCGACGAGTGGGGAGCTGCTCATAATGAAACCAGTGTGTGCACGTAAAGGTATCTTATTTATTTTTTCACAACCAGAAATATCTGTCCACGGATGTATCGAGATTTCACTGTACACATGCATAAAAAAGACACAGGCATATACACACTTCCACAAGCGCACACACACCAGGGCAGCCAAGACAGGACGCGACCATAACATTTGTTTTTGCGGGATCTGGATAGCTGCACCAAGGGCCCAAAATTGTCGTGAGTTGGGCGATAAACCGTTTGCTGTGTGGACGTGCGACAAGGGAGAGGGAGCTACACCGAACAAGCACAGCACCCCCGAGTGAAGGTGCTCCAACGCAGCACCCAAATTCAGCTCTACCGAGCTTAAGTCTGTGCGAGGATAGTCGATATTATTATTTTTGTAGCTGTCAGTGGGTTCACGCTGGCACCGCTCTCTCAGACGAGAGATGCTGTTGGAGTAAGTGCTGTTCGCGAGTCCACGTTAATGCCAGTGGAGGGCACAATGGGGTGGTGAGGATTCACCCACCCGTGCATGCCCGGAGGTATTTCTATTCTCACGGTGAGATGCACACAAATTAGCGTGAGGTCAAAGTAAGTGGGATTAGGCCGGAGCCTAGCGATGGTGAAAACTTTCTGCCAAGTTCACGCGCACTTGGCGTTAATAGTGGATAACATGAAGGTGTGCGGTGATGGGGAATGAAAGGTAATTAAAAAATGTGTGAAAGGTTCCCCTCCGTCAATGTATACACCATTTGTCACAGGTATTCACACGCAGGGATTGAACAGTGGTTGAAGAGATTGTGTTCCATCAACTCTTGCACCACTCCTCACCATGTATGGGTGGTAATGGCCACCTTGACAAATTCAGACGCCAATATTTTCAGCGTTTTTTATGAATGGGTTCCTTGGTGCAGTTATGCTTAAACGTAATACATTCGATAAGAACAAAGGCAGTGTGCGAATGTGTTTTTATATACAATAAAATTAGATTATGTTTTACTCCAGGAAGGTGAGCATATCTAAGTCTTAAGCTGAAGTTAAATATCTACAACTTTGTTGAATGTAATTTTGTTGGGGCTACAAAAGTTGCGTGGCATTCATTGTTGTGAACGTTTTGGGTTGTGTAATACATCACAGATGCATGTCATTTAGCCACACGACCCAATCACGGCACATTTTAAAACATTTTAAATAATGAATATAGGATAACATAAGCCACAGGCATTTCTTTCCCAACATACCCCTCTTGCCGAGATGCCAAAGCCCAAAGAGTTTACTCAAATTGGCTCTGTGATCTAGGCAAACAGTTGCAGGCCTCCTCAAATATACTCGGGTTAAAAAAAGAAACATTGTAGAGAACAAAAAATCAACTGTGTCATTCAGAATTTACAAATCGATATATACTAATTGTAAAAAGTTACTTAACGGCATGTAATATTTTAATATGTCATTTTTCAATTCACCCACATGCCCTATTGGTCACGAGGGTTGATTGATTACACTTCTCTGCGCAGGTCAGTGAAGGTTGGTGGAGTCAGGAGCCCAGAACTTCTTCTAATCGTCACTCACAACGGATGTTTTCGATGGCCGGGAATTGAACTCAGTTGAACGGGTTCATAGGGCAGTGCACAAACCATTTCCACCGCCACTCTCCATGCTTTTACTTTTCAGGTTAGCAATTTTTCAGAATCAAATCCAGGCACATATTTGCCACGGTAACACTGACATCCTTTTTACAGCTGTGACATTGCTGTTTGACGTGCCTGTCAAACCCAAATGACCTGATTACAACCGATCACAGCAAAGTAGCATGAGCAGAGTCGCATTTCCAAACTGGTTTTGGGGAACATCGTTTCAGAGCCCCAATCCCAAACGCAAACAAAAACATTCCCCCAATGGTTGCAGCCCTTGTTAAATTGTTCAATATGAAACGACGCTATTGCAAGCAACAATATTGCATACAGATTGCACTGCATTAACTTCACCTTAAGAGATGTTTTGGCTTGGATGGGGCACAAATGAAAATCATCATTGGATAGCTGGAAATGCAGTCCTGATTCGCAAGCAAAGACATGTTCTCCACGTGTTCTCGTCTGTTGTTACAACTACTGCCTTGTCACGAACTATGTTAACATTTCCTGGGAAAATGTAAGGTCTCCAGGACTTCATGTCAAGGGCAGCACAAGCTGTTGTTTTCCACACGTTTTTGGTGTTAAAAGTCACCCCTGTGGTAAGTGTAAGGTCTTTGGAGGAAGTGAAGACACAGAATCCTTGGGTGTTTAGTTAATTGAAATAGTGAATCCAATAACGTCCGGGTAAAGATACGAGAGCTTAATGATTGCTAAGATGGGTTTGACATTTTCAGCAATTTCACCTGCGTGTTTTTCAAGAGGATAATTAAAACGCGCATGCATTGGGTTGTGTTTATGGCGAACGTCGAATGTATAATTTCATCATTTTGGGCAACTTCTTAAAAAAGAAACAACGTTCGCATTTTCTTGGAAAATTAAATCTTTAAATTATGCGGTCGCTCATGCAGAAAGGTCACCGTACTCACCCACCGGACCGGATCAATTCCCACATCCGCCGGGGAATTTCCGCAGAGAACTATAAATCGTTGTGTTTGCTGTCGAGAGAATGGCAAGGGTCCTGTGTGTGGCGCCATGAAAGCAGGACACTGTGTGCTGGCGTCATGAAACAATACCACATTTTATCATCGGCAGCAGTCTCCCCAAAAATACCAACTCTCCCCCCCCCCCCCTCCCCTAAATCAGTATGGTACCATTTCTCAGGTCATCATTGGTATCAGTGGGCACTCGCTTTGATCAAGGACGTTCAATCCAATGTTCAAAAAATAATAAAGGTGTTACAGAATATAGGTAACGTAAAATCATTCATGTTTAATCACTGGCAATTTATTTTCCAATGTTGAACAATGATCAAATTTTCATTTTTAAATTGTTATATTCTATTGTAGCTATTGATGACAAATCACAGACGTTTGCACAATATCCTTGAAGGCTCTGCCCTACCTTGGCCATGAGTCTATACAGATGAAGAAGAGGTTCCACTGTGCCTGCTTACAAAATATGCTCTCAAAGGAGAGGCTCAACAAGCACTTAAACACGTTCCCAATACTCATTATTGTCGTGCCATAATTGGTGACCTGACTGAATATTATCAGAGCCTGCTTCATTTTGGAACACTGATAATCAAGTGGGAGCCCCTTCAGACACCCAGCCACATCTGTACCTAACCATCTTGAAGTTTATCACATTTTTAATCTGATCGTTCATAAGACAGCGGTGTTTAGAAACATCGTCAAATCCTAAAGGTTTAGTTTCCCTGGGGGAATTTTAAAACAACGACAGTGGTTAGTAGAAGTGGTTGTAATGAGTGGTGTGGTGGAGAGTATTTTGCCATGTAACCAATTTGTTTTTTTAATGTTTTTTTTAAAATATAGCATATGCCTACTGTTTTGTGAATTACACAGGCATGTTCTGCAACAAATTGTGTATCCCTGTATAAACAATGTAACATTAAAATTAATAAAAAAACGCATTCGTGCATGTGAGCAATGTTACCAAAACCCTACACACATCGAAAAACTGCAAAAACAAATGTGATATTTACATTTCGAGCTTTGAGCAGTAGCTCATCTCCCTTGCAGCCATTGGTGGGAAAGTACGCATTCCTATGCCGAGTTGAGTAATATCACCAGACAGTACTTGTTTTTTTATTAACGTTGACTTTGGGAGATGATGATGTGAACGATGATAATTTGCAACGGGATGAACCCAAAAAACTGATGATTGGCAACTCTGCTTTCCCAACAACTCATGTGATGTACGTACATTTAAATCTTGGCACATTTCATTCAGGTTTCTAAAACGTACCGAGCATAATTTTGTCTGTATTTTAACACGGGACAGGAGAACGCCGACTGCATATTTGGACATTAAAATGCGATGTCAATAAAGCGAATTCAGAAAGTTGGGTATGCGTGCACATGTGAAGTAAACAAGTCCACAACCGCACACAACGCACACACACACAAAACACTCTCATTGATACAATTACCGAATGTGATGGCACAAACAGCATCTGCACAGCAAGCTAATCACACCCTGCGCACTGCCACGAGATGGACAATAGCCTGCTTAGCCGGTGTTGACGATCGTTCTTACGCTGTGGGTTTTAACGCGAGTCGAGCAGGCACAAACGACTACACAGCAATTATTTATGATGTGATGTTATGATTATTATGTGCTGTTGAATAAAACAAATATGTTTCCCTTAATACTTTGTCAATATTGTGTGGTGTTCTCTCATTCCCTTTTCTTCATTGCAATCCTAGTGGTTTAAACAGAATTCCGTCTATTCTCGTTGGTTTGATATATTTATCCTTTTTTCCCAGCATCCCCTTTCTTCATCAAGCCTTCATCCATAAGAGTTGTTTTGGGTGAGATGGATAATATTTGTCGCGAAAGCCTCCGTGTGAAACTGATCAAGCCTTTGTCTGAAAACATCTTAATACGTAGAGGACTGCAGAGGGTTTTTGGAAATATATTTCACTTCCCAATATATATTTTACAAAATTGACGAAGTTTATCTCTCCAGTACCACATTACAAATTCAATGTCGCGTTTTTGTAAGTTTATCGCCGGATATATCGGTGATATGGACAACACCACCACCACCACCCCTCTCAATGTGGAGTGGCCACGTGGAACTGCCGCCCATTGTAAGTGAACGTGTTCGTTAATTTGTTAGTCTACCTGGACAATTATTGATCATTTACAACTCGTGTATAATTCTGTAGTCCCCACGCTAATTTAACAAGGTGTGCGTATTTAATACCGAATATGAATTACGTATTACCGAATACTTTCAAAATAAGTATATTTTAAAGCAAACGTTGTGGGTGCGTCGAACATTCCGATATGTATTATCCGGATAAAATATCAAGCAATAATTTGTAACAATATACCGTAGTGCGGGTTATTTAGTTATGCTTAAAATGTGTACGCTATCACTTATGCATTTTTGCTAGTGTAACGTGACGATTTAATCGAGTTACGGATTGTGCAGTGAACGATCAGGAGGCACCTATGACGGTCATTTGATGGGTGAACTGCAGTCCTGGAAACATCCGAAGTCTTATACTGGTAGGAACCACCTAGTTCCACCAGCCCACACGGGATTATTGTGTCCGTCCGTCGTGCATCCAAAAATGGGAGGGGTCGGGCTGGGTGGGGAGGGGCTGGTCACCTCGTGGTGCCCTTATAAAACTCAACGTGTAACCTACTCACGCCGGCTTGTGCCCGCCCTCAGTCGGCCAGATTTGCGGAATACACCACGCCGCCGTTGACCCTGGCCATTGACCGAGCAACCCAACGTTCCTACCAGCTCCCTCCGCAGGAATGTTATACATGTTTTATTCGCAGTCAGTATAGCAGAGAACAAAACGACACACGTGCCAAATACAATTACAAAGAGACGGGGAAACCGATATAGCGATAATCGACATCGCGAAATTTTATATCGTAAAAACGTGATTTTGCTGCGAGCGAGGTTAACCTCCAATAACGGTGCATGACCGATGACTGACAGGTAATTATGTTACCCAAAGTTAACATTCGTGTACGGCCCCTTGTTGTCCATCCACTGCTGGACGAGGTCCTCCCATACCGTGCGGGCTCGTGGGGGTTATTTGACCATACTTCACCACGCTTGCGCGGATAGATGACTGATGGGAGCATAGACCGTAACACTGCAGTACCCTACTACAATGGGGTTTTACTGCACTGCTGCCCCTGGTGACCACCACTTTAAGCCCCAAAATGGCCAAAACAGCAGCAGCAGCGTCTATTCATTGTGGCCACCCATCCTGGCACTATCCAGGCTCAAGTCTGCTGAGCATTACGGGTTACTTGGCTGCTTGCCACGTTGATGAGTAAGAGAATTATAAAACTGCTGTCATGTGATTGGATGAGCATGGGGATGCCGTGTGCACAAAACTCGTGCTCATGCTGCCACCTGGTGTCACGCAGACGGTGGTGGCGTGGTTGGAGGGCATCGGCAGAGATGGTGGTGGGACAAAGAAGGGGGTTTTCACCTCCTGCAGTGTTCTTCATTGCAAGGCCCGCGGGCCCCAATGCTGCCCACTCGTGGCCTTTAGTGCGGCCCCCGAAAATCCACAGCATGTGACAACAGCCCACATCGTGCTGTCAAACCCCCAATGGTTAAAAAATGTGTGGCAGCCCGCGCACTGATGTGGTCTTGTCGGTGAAAGTGGCCCACCCTTTGAAAATTAGCGAAGAGCAATGGCCTGCTGTCACACGAAATGACTTTGACAGCTTCAATACTGTTATTTTATCGTCCCAAATCATTATCAGTCATCAATCAGCTGCAAAATAAATTCCTCCCACACGCCGACGCCATATCTTGAGTATTGCAATGTCACAATCCATCTCACTCCGGAAAGATGGATCTTGTCTCATTGAATCAAACTCGACTCATATTGAAAAAATACATTTCGGCCCCAACATCGTCAACATCCAACCCCCTTCAGGAGCAAACATCTGTGACCACCACTTGTCAGAGGCGAAAATTCCACATTCCTATGATGGGGGCTCGTGTGACCAAAGAACAACTGTTCACTTCCCACTGGTACGGACGTTTTATCAAACCCCCTATGTTTAACACGTAGGCTTTCGCGACCAATATTATTCATAATAAATGACGTCACCCTGCTGCTGCTCTATTTAAGACCGGGAGCAAGAGCAGAGCCTCACCATTCTGGCAATTCGCCCGATGAAGCTGGATGTAATTACCAGCGAAACGTCGTACTCAAATTTTCAATGATATTGATTCACTCTTCAACACACCAGTGGGCTAAAGTAGTGAACTATTTGTCCTTTGTAAACGTGACACATTTTTTACTGTTTGGCCGTGTGGGGTGGTGGAGGGTTACGACACATTTACAAATAACGCGATCCAACCCAAAAACCTTTATTATAAACCCACTATGGTTGATGAGCCGAGTTGACCCCCAACCACAATTTAATTCAACCTGCAGATTTTATATTGATCACAATGCCACAGCAACATGATCACCCATTATCGGTCCGTTGCTGGATTATGTCCTCCCCAAGCCATCTATTACATGGTCTCGCAACGCAACATTCCATCTAGCATCTGTACGGTATACAACTTGATTTCGTTACCACCATCTCTGCAGTTCGTCTTCTCGTTTGTTCCTTCTGAAAATGGCAGCAATACCCTGCCGACTGAAAGCTGGAAACCCCCATACAAGCCACGGCCAGCTCGACGCAACTGATGACGTCGCCAAGCCTCACCAAACACCTCCCGTCCAGCGGCACACGCTGGAACTGGGGTAATACTTTTTTAACTGTTATCCATTTCGTCGAGTAATTACCCCGTTAATCAGCAATTGAAATAACTCGATATGCCGGCTCTATAGGGAAGTAATCTTTACAACACGTGTGGTTTTCAATGCATGGAACATATTGACCAGATTTGTGCCCGTCCAATGACATAATCTCCCAAAGTCTGCCAGTCAGGGGCGATGTTGCTGTTTCAACAATAATTTGTAAATTATATTTGTCTCATTTGTAACATGAAACTCGCACATATGGCCTACAATATAAAACATCTGAATTCTAACAATCTTGAAGATGGTACCACCCCCATAGCTTTTCCTGACATAGCAGCATCTCGGCCTAGGACATATTTAACAACCGGAGAACAAGAACAACGTATCCATAATGTTCCTTTGATTGAACAGACATGGTGTGTGGAGGCTGGAACAATTGTACAATAGACACAACACACACCAGAAAAAAACATCACAAGGTACACACCCCCTTGGTATCAGCTTTTTATTAAGTTTTCAAAGATATCAGTAGAAAATACATAATACTATCATATCAATTTGCCAAAAAAATAGGTTGTGCAGTATATGGTTAGAGTTTTGTGTTGTCGAGTTTTAACAACTTTCTTTTCAAAACTGAAAGGGGGAAGAAAAAAAATTGCCACCGTGGATTCACTTTGCTATTGGCGTTTGACCAGAATTCGGACAGGTCGCGTTTTAAAACGATGACATTTCCACATTTTGTATTTCCTACAGAACTTCACTTTTTCAGGGTGGTTTGATAAAAACCCACATCAACCCACAACGTTACGACAGTTAGCGATTTGTATGCTTTTATTCCCCTCTATTTTCTGTCATCGCACAGAGCCAGGCTTCCCAGCGACATCTCGTCATCACAACGCAAACAACACACGACTAACCTTCGTTCCGTTTCGAAGTACGGTCTGAAACATTGCGGTTTACTTTTGTGATTAATTTCCTCAACCTTTCGTAAACCTCCCTCACATAGCCCAATATACAGCCAGCTGTTACACTTTTCACATCACTTTGTTTCATTACGATGTCGCCACTAATATCCTAGTTGAGGGTATAGTTGCTGACGTAATGGTAACCACACTGCTGTCATTCCAGAAAATTGTATCCCTGAAAAGGAGCGGTGGCACAATGTTTCTGAACCCAGTATCTTCAGTTCTATCACCGGTCATGGAGATCAGTGGTGAGTGGAAATCCGAACGGATCCTTAGCGCCCCCTATCGTCAAACAACACCCGTCACCGCCGTGGCATGCCCGAGGCCTTTTTCCTGCACTGAATTGACAAAGGATTGTGTTAACGGAGCCCACGTCACAATACAACTATCCTGGGAACGTTGTACAGAGTCTCACACCCAAGGTGTCACAAAAGCGCACAAGAGACACCACAGAGACGCCTTGGGGCATCGTTGCTTCGCGAGGGCCATTTGTAACCACCGACCACAAGACGGTGCTTCGTCGTGCCCTGTGAAGCGTGGAACGCCCCGAATCCCTCATCTTTATTACACACATATTTACAATTGTCTACCGCAGAGCTGTGCTGGGCCACGTCTAATGCGAAACGTGTCAGATGTATAACAACATCCGTGTGGGAACTGTGGCGGGCGCGCTTGACTCACAATGGGTGCAGGGGTGGGGAGTGTTGCCAGTTGAGAGTTCAAATCGGATTTCAAGTTTGCCTTTCATCCCTCTATAAGACGAGTACTGCATTGTTGGAAGTCACTCTTTTTGGAGTAACTCAGCCCTGCCATCAGAATACGGAATTTCCACCACTGGCTCCATCACTTGCTTGAGTAGGGAAAAGCGCCAGCGTATTGGTGAGTACATCTGCAGTATGGTGAGAACCAGGTTTAACGTTGCAAAAAATTCAATAACCTTAAATCCAAAGATCTCAGCAATGCCACCTCAATGCTCTGGCCCTGGGCATGACATTGATCTGCACAACTGATGCGAGTCACCATTCCACCTGGGTTTAAAAAAAAAAAAACGTCAATTGATAAAAACCGAAAACACATCAACTCTAGGGCATGTCAACTTTGAAGCACGGTGGTGTAAACGGAAGTGACAAGGGTGGTGAATCTTCTCAGCGAACTGTGAAGTACTGGCCAGTTTAAATTGTCGAGGCTTGGGACTGTGTACGAGTCATGTGGGGCCATCAAGCCGTTTGGGCTCATTCCCTCTCCGCCAAAAGGGGTCTCGAGATCTGTACCCGTCCCCCAACTCCAACCCCATTTTACTTGGGTGACATTCACATTGCAGCAGTCGTAGTGGTACCGTCCAATCCCAGTTCAGTCAAAACCACAATGGGAAATCCAACCTCACCTTGAAGCTAGTAATTCTGTGGGGCCAATTGCGTAAAACCGCTCGAGTGATTTGCTTCACCGCAACTCGTGTCGAATCTACTTAAAAAATAGCAACCAGCTACTGATCTGACGTGAACTCAAATATAAACTTGAGATATAACCTAAACCATACCACCAACTCTATCCATAATGATAAAGCTAACTTCAATTGTACACATGCCTATAGCCATAGCCAACAATAACGCCTCTAACCTACCCTGCGACACACAAACCTTTATCAACCTAAACCTTACATTAAAGCTAACTCCATTCTAACACTAAATCAAATCATAACGCTTACGATAGAGCCAACCAGAACCCCCTAAAAGTTCAACTCGTGACCTGTATTATCAGGTTTGGAAAGCCGACATCGTAGATAACACCTGTCTCTGGTTCATCTTCTTGGTTCTTTCTGTAAAGTCACGTAGAAGGGAAATACGCTGCCAAGCTTAGCAGTGTTCATTGGAGCGCTGTCTTTTCGACAGCTCTGTTTCTTCACCCGAGGACGGCTGCTTGTGTTGTGGCCGAAATGTCGTGAGAATTGTATTTTACGTTTTATTTTTATTATTTCCCTTCTACGTGACTTTACCGAAAGAACCAAGAAGATAAATCCCTGCAGTCACGAAAGCTTTAAATCGAAACCTGTCTGGTTGTTCTCGGTGTTGTGGTGGCGAGGGTGGTGAGGGAATGAGAGCGGTGAAGTATGGGGACTCCGTTGCTGCGGACAACTGCAACGACCGACCCCAGTCGCCCATGCAAACGTCCCCAGGCTCCTAAAGCACACGGGGCATCCAAGTGAGGGTACGACGCAACCTCACAGCTTACTAACGACACCTCACCGGCGGACAAGGCGCATCGCAACGACCTTACCGACGCAAGCTACGTAAACATTAACGATGAAAACAGAAAGAAGAACACTGAACTCCTAATCTACGCATTAGTGCGAGCGGCGCGTGAAAAGCGGTCGCAAGCTTTTTGTTCTGCGCCACCTCGAGCTTAGCCGAACAAAAGCATTGATTCGGCGGTGGAGAGCAGTCACATCTTGGGGCGTACCCGACTAGCGTGCATCACCGACGGGGGATGTTGTTGTTGTGAGTTGGCTAGATTGATCGTCTATATTTGTCTGGCCACCGGTTGTGTGTCAAGTTTGGGCTATGGCACTGGCCACACAATGGCCAACACCTGCACATGAGTTGTCGGTGAACATGCAAATCACGAGGTCACATATCCTCACACATAACGGCCATCTGCACATCCTTAGATGTGATAAGACACATGATATATAGTCAGCATTTGTATGCTACGGCGATGCTGCCATGGATCAATCTTAGTGCAGCAGCTGAAGCAATGGGCACGCTTCTTAAATGAGCCCGTCTCTGTCAACCCAGCAGTAGGAATGGGTACACGAACAGTCAATCGGCAAATCACGTGTGATGGGGTAAAGTGTGGGTACTCGCACATATTCCAAGACGTCTGGCCAAAGTGGAAGAGAAGGCCAACGCTCCACTAGAGGGGTTCTCTAAAGCTCCATGTTGTAGAGGCAATTCTTCTTCGAAGTAGCGGCGTGAGCATGACATTGCAGGGTTGCAGGGCTGCACCTTTACTTTTTGCCTTTCTGTTTGAACGATGATTTTCCTTGCCTTGCAGCAGCTTTGCATCTCAAGAAGAATCAAACAATATTCCTACGCGAATACTAAAAGAGCAGTTATGACAACTTAATCTTAACATTATTTAGAAAACTATTTTTTGAACTATATTTTTTGAAAATGTAATCATTTAGTAATAACTTGCTTGAGATGCACTTTTTTTTTTCCCTTGCGGCTGATGGCCACACCAAGAGTTAATTATCAGCCAGCACATTAAGTCCAAACTTGGGCGTGCAATCCATTAGCCCACAGACATAACTGGTTGAACAGGAACATCGAGTGTGATGATCACAGCCCAGTTAATAGTTTATGCACAATATACACCATCACAGGAACGATGCATTACATTCAGAGCGGCTTGCCTCCGAGGGCTAATTCAGAATAGGCAAACCACCCACCCATCTGCGCTGGTAATTAAAGCAAAGGTAAGCGATGGTAGGAAAAGAGGCCCTCTAAATATTTCAAGCAAAGCCCCAACAAAAAGTTGATCTGTTCTCTACGTAGAGGGATTCAAAATGGGGGGGAAATGCTGCATGTTGCACGTAAATGCCAAAGGCACAATCGGGATATAACGAGTGAAAGTTCCCAAAAATATTTACCTTTCATGTAATGCTCTTCAACAGGCCTGCAGAAAGCCAGCAAAGAAAGCCTTCCATAGAGCCTGTTCCGTACAAACGAATTGCGTAGGTCAACTCGACAAGATTGATTAACTTGTAGGAAAACCTTAAATATTTGTTCTGAAGAGTTTCAGGCTCAGCAATTTTAAGCTAAAAGCTACAAAAATGTATCGGTCTGTGTACCCACTCGGTTACCTGTGGGTTGAACTTCCAGACCAGACGTGTCACTCGATTAATTTCTAGCTTGAGATTGTTGAATGCTTAAATATTTCTCAAGATATAGGCCAGTATACCACGTCATTTGTTTCCCAACTGCAAATATTTCAAGAGTTATGACTTAACGACAGTATTAAACCGATGTGAGTCTGCATAACGTCATTTTGTTGTATTGTTTGGTGGCAGAATGATCATCTCGAAGAGGTAAAATGCTGGAGTGTAGATTACTTGCAAACATCAACTCCCTTTAATGACAAGTTCATTCAACGTTTCAATATTGTTTACAATGCAGGTTATTACGAAAAGTTAATCACAATACATTTCCCTAACTGTGGAACAGACAGGGATTTAATTCTGCCAAGTCCCATCTATAAACTTTTCACATGCCAAAGGTTAAATCATTGAAGTGTAAACTCTAGATTCAAAAAGGCAAAGCTTCGTTAGAGCAGGCTGCACAGTAAAATGTTTTGAAGCCCCCATGTCACCAAAAAGGCCAGGCAAGCGAGAACAATTTGAGGCAAAAAATTCGAGGCTCTTTGCGATGCACAATTTGGGTGGCGCAGTGGTTACAGTGGTTAGCAACCTACGCTATATGAATCCATTGACCCTAAAGCTCATTCCCGGGCACGGCAAACTTCAGTGGCAGGTGATATCAGTAACGCTTATGTGGTCTTCTCCTTTACCGATCTGCATTGACTAGCGTGAAGTTTGGTAAAATAGAAAACAATTACCCACAGTGTTGTGGGGAGTTTAATCAAATTTTATCAGCTGAGTGGCACCGCATTTGGCATACCATGCCAATGCACCAGTTCGTACGGAGCTTGCACAACAAGGACGGTTCAATTGCAGTCACTCATTTGTTTATTGGCGGCAGTATTTTCCCCTATCCACGTGGCACTGTGTCCCGATGCTCAAACTGGCAGTCAGAAGCCAATTCTCATTGGTTCAAATGCTGGTTGGGGGTTAATTTGACCCATCATCCCAATGGTGCTTGATACTACAATGTCATCCTACGAACAGGCTGGCCGTTGGCAGAGCAATGTGGAATTTCTACGACAGCCTTAGGATCAGCACCGGTGCACAGGAGGCAGGGACACCGATAATGTATGTTACTAAAGCATGCCACCTCCTGCAAAGCAAATGCTGTAAATTGTGACAATTTGCACAAGGATGGTGCGAGAGTCGCAAGTTTTCACATTTGGGAATTATCCCCCCCTCCCCCCCCCCAACTTAAATGTAACAAAAATGAATTAGTCTTTATTCGATTAAGGTTACACACAATACCTGCCACGGTAGTGAATTCCAACAGGTCCCTAACCTGGTTAAACACAGACCATAGTAATTGAAATGAAACAACCAATTTCAATAATGTCTTAAATAAATAAAGTCATAATCGTCAACCAAGATTTAAGAAAACCCTCGGGGGGAAAATGCAAACCATACGGAACTTAGATTGGATTGTCACCACGTGACCTCTGCATTTCAGTTTGTGAGCGACCCCGAAATTCAAAGCGCTGTTCACGTGACAACAGACTACGTGGCGAGAGCAGCGGGTGCAGCGAGAGTCATAGCACAGGGGATGCAAGGCTCAGCGATGTCAAGGCTGCAAAATAAACGAAGCTGTGTGCAGCTTGGTGCAATGCAGCCTTTAGTCGAAGACGAAATTACGCCCATTCACCAGTGCGCAACGCAATCAGGGGGGACAAAAGAAACTCAATGCTTTTGAACGTCTTAGAACTACAACTTGAAACCGTCGCGCCAATCCAACTCAAAGTGACCACGATGCCGGATTGTTGAGCACGAACAACAAGAGGCCACTTATTCAGCATCATTTGCAGGAAACTGGATCTGGTGACACTTTGGTAGTGCCGAGAAGTCATTGTGTTCAAATAAATATTAGTTTAATGCCAGTTGTTTCAGGATTTGCTCAATAATCCTTGCCCAGTTAAATGTGTTGCTGGATGAAATATATTTCTTTGTAGCGATCCCAATGCACTGTTAAGCAGACATGCGTAAAGAAAGCACAAGACAAACGCTTCAAACGCTGTGACCTGTTCCATAACATCGCTCCTCTATGGTCTCCTAGGAATGTCTCATTAACACATCAAACATATCATGTGGACATCAATAGGTGCCATGGAGCCTCAAACCCTTCGATAGAATGTGCCCACAGCTTGGCCTAAACCCGTCTTTCAGAACGGAGTTTCAGGACACATTAGATCGGTGTTTCTGTATCGTAAATATGCGTGAATTGTATGTTAGCTGGGTGGCAAACTCAGGATAATAAATGTCGCAGCAATGAGCTAAACTGCTGAATTGATGAGCTCTGATCTGGATTTTGGCCACCTGTTATTAAACCTCATTATCAAGTGCAGTAAATTTATCACATCAGCTCAATCACAAATCACTCCACCAAAAAACAACTCAATTTGGCCAAAACCAGCTTTCAGACTAAAATGTCCAATTGTGACATGCAAAGAGCTGCTTCTTTTACTTTTACTAAACACAAAGCAGTGCAGCAGTTTAGTGTTGAGTTAAAGAGGTCATCCATAAGGTGACGCCAGGAGCAGTTGAGATGTCATCGTCCACATATTTCAACACCAACGTGATGTCCTCCTGACTGGTAAATAAATCCCAATATTATTTTAAATATGCACATACTGTTAATGTTAGTGGTTTTTAGTAACACCTGACTGATACAATGAAAATGGCTCAGTTTTTCTGTTTGAAACTATATTGTAAGAGACCAGGTTTAAAGCCACCGTGTGGATACAAACATTTGGGACCTGAGGCTCCAATAAAAGCCAATCAGAACAAAAATGTTGCACGTTCCAAAGTTCCTCCAAGCTACCGGAGGAGTTTAACGGCAGCTTGCTGCATTTGAAGCATTCGTCTGAAACTTGCTCTTGACACCCTAGCTTTGAAAGTGAACTAACAACAGAGGTTTCTACAAAGAAAGGAGTGCAACTTTACAATATCCACATCCCATTTCTGCCATTTTTTTTCCATAAACCAGACAAAACATGATTACATTCTGAAACATTGCTGGCTGAAGCACGATTGTCTCCAGGTGAAGTCGTAAAAAAAATTAAGCTCTGAAAATTGTTTCATCCGATGGGCTAATTAAAACTCCAAATCACGGATCCAGAAGTGGCTTTATTTTCACAGGACAGTAGATGGGAGTTATTGGGAGGAATTTTTTTACGTGCCCCTTTCCCCGAGCCCCCAAAGCCAAGCGTGAATCTCTTGCTCTCTTTAACAAGTCACCCCCTTGCCTCGCTCCTGCTGCAAACAGCACCTGATCACTTTAAATGTTTCTGAACATTGTGAAATAGGGCATTGTGATGAATTTGTCCATCAACAGGTCACATGTGGCGAGGTCAATTGTGGGTACGCCTACCTCTTGCTAGATGTCTGGCCAATGTGGATGAGTAGGCCAAAGCACGCTCTGGAACGGCTCCCGAGAGCTTCCTATAATAGAGGCCCCATCTACCAGCAGTTGTGTGAGCAAGCAATAACCGGGCTGCAGCTCTACCTTTAATTCATTAGGGCTGCGGAGACGCACATCGTCGGCTGTCCAAAAGCAACAACAGTAAACCGAACACACGAACGTGGCAAAAATGCGCATAAGATGCCGACAACGCAATAAAAAAATAGCGATAGAAACAAAAAAAAACACTGTTGTATTTGCAGCGGGAGGGATAGATGGCGAGCGATAAGGGACAAGAGGCACGCGCGCGAGTCGTACAATGAGAGCGCAGAGAGACAGGGAGGCCGAAGGTGTGAATCGCATGTCGATCCAGACCCCTCGTCTCCGCCCTGTAATGTAATCCGGCGGTCTAACCATGCGCGCCAGTCTCAGTCGGACTTGGCTCTTCGATGTTTTTTCGGGTTGCACTGCGTGTTGCTCGACATGACGTCCGACGTGTTTGTCACTCCACGAGACGAACAACACGTGGTTCAACCAGAAAACACATCGGGGAGAGCTATACAGCGCAACTGTGAAAACCTATGCGGCAGTGTTATTCAGTCGGACTTGTCTTTCTTCTTTGGCACAAAGGGGACTTTGCTGCTTACGGCCGATCCCATGGCTGAGACCCCACCGGCCACGGCCGACACGCTGCCCCTCACCAGCCCGACCCCCGCCGCTGGTACCGTGGTCACCACCGTCTTGGTCACCTCGTAGCCCTTGCCGCCCAGCCAGGCCACGCCACCTAGCGTGGCGCCCACCGCCCCCTTCGTGGCGCTGAATATGCCGCCCGAGACCCGCCAGAGCATGCCTGGCGCTGGAGCCGGCTTGCCATGGTCTCGCTCGTCATCTGGGGGGGGCGGGAAGGAGACAAAGGTGGGTTGGGATTCAAGCGACAGAGTATTTGTCATCAATTCTAGATTTGAAGCTTTCGTGACTGCAAGGATTCATATTCTTAGGTTTTTTCGGTAAAGTCACGTAGGTAAAACATTAAAATTAATAAAAAATAAAATAAAGATCACGACGTTTCGGAGGCAACACAAGTCTCCGTCATCAGGTGGGACCGTCACAGCCAGATTAGCTGCATCAAGAGCAGCTAATCTTGATGCAGCTAATCTGACTGTGACGGTCCCACCTGATGACGGAGACTTGTGTTGCCTCCGTAACGTCGTGATCTTTATTTTATTTTATTTTTATTAATTTTTATGTTTTACCTACGTGACTTTACCGAAAAAACCTAAGAATATTTGTCATCAGTTGGTTGCACTCAATTGGAACAGAAAGTTGTGCTAAGGAGTTGGGGAACCTAGAAAAAAAAATCATGACTGAATTTGACCTGAGCGAGGTACGGTATTTGACCTCACATCTCTCTTAAACGATGACCCCATGATGTGACAGGATCAGTTCGTTTCTAAGAGTGGTCCAGGTGAAAGTATGTTGCGCATGCTTATGCGAGCGAGCAAAGTAGGGCCAGGCACCTACCTAAAAAGCCACGAGTCCAGTTATTGCTCCTGACCAACTCCGAACAAACTCAGCTCCGAGTCTAAAGGCTCAAATCAATAAAGAGTATGGGCTCGGAATGTTTTTTTGCACCACCAAATTAGAAAGTGAGACAGCGATTCCTGTTCCCACTCAGGCCACCGTGGGAATCGCAGCAAAACATTTTTTTGCAAACTTCGTTGTTAAAGGCAACGTCCCTGCAGGGCTGTGAAAAATATATCGGGACCCAGGAGGCGTACGTGTTTAGTGCCTGTACCACACTTACGCTCCCTGTACAAGACGTACATGTCTGCATGTGTGTATTGGTCTCTTTGAGAATAGATGCGGTTGTTCAAGACTGTGGGTCTCATTTACGCTTTGCACGAAAAGGCATATTCTGCAAGTAGTCGATGGAAACTAGGCCAAATTACCACGATTTTTTTAACCAAATATACGTTGCATTTTTGTCAAAATGTACAGCACCACTGTATTTCTAGCAAATATCAAAGGATGCTACTTTTTCATCATAATATTTTTCGGGTCTATCAGATGTGCAGGATTAATTCAAGCAGTGAATGACTGAAAGTTATTATCTTATTTTACCTTGCATGTACTTGCAACGCTTGCCCAGTATTCGCCACGTGCAAAATATTTGTATTATTGTGTGTGGTGTGTGTGCGATGATGTTGTTATGCACGTGTGTTGTTGATACTTGTGTGCAAGCTACGCTGGTACATATGAAAACTTTGTTGACACTTGTTTGAGCTTATTGTTAATGCCCGTGTGTATTAATCCTCTGTATATGCCATTGTAAGCTGCGCTTGTGTATGTTCGTGTGGTATCGGATTGCATGCATGCTGTGTCGATGTGAGTATAAGCTGCATGTGTGTGTGTTCGTTAGTGTGCGTGGTGTATTCTTGTGCAAGCATGCTGTTAGTGGCATTTCAAGCTGCATTTGTGTATGTTTGTGTGTGCGTGTTGTATTATTGTGCATGCGTCCTGTAACGGTGTGTTTCTTGTGTGTATAAAATTGATTGCTTGCATGCCATTTCCACATGTGTAACTGTGCCATGTGTTACTTGTGAGCATGCAAGCACGTTTACCCATAATTTGTGCATTCCTGAACACATACGCATGTGGTTCTAAACGCACACACATAACAATGAGGGTCAAATGGCTCCACCCAACATCTGCTAAAAATAACCAAGGGTGGTTTGTCTTGCCAAACTGGGAATATTTGCTGGAAAACGAATCGCCTCAGGTTGGAGGATCACTTTCCTCGTCACTGCAGGAAAGTATTTTTCCAGGCCATGAATAACTGGGCTGGAGTGTCTCCTTGACTTTATTGAGCCTATGACCTCATCGGCTCAATAGAAATGTCACGGAGACCGTCAGTGACATAGGTCAGGGGGGACAGCACCGTCTCCGACAACTAATTTTGTGACGGCAAAAATATTCCAAGCAAAACTCTCCATGTTAAAATGGAGCCAGACTTAGGGAGGAGGGCATCACACCGCAATCCTCGTGCAGAGTTTTTTTTTTGACAGTTGGCCAGGAGCTAGAACTGGACTAGGCCATACCTGTGGCTTTGTAGGCAGAAGTGTTGATATGTTGTCTTCACTTGAATTTGGAAATAAGTATAGCGGTGCCATCCCCCGATAACTCTTTGCCACTACATAACCGAGCCGTGCCAAACCAGCCCTGCATGGCTAACCAGGCGCCAGGTTGGTTTTTTCAATGCAGAAGCCGAGCAGTGCCCCTGACATCACAAGCAATTAACCAGTTAAGTCGCGTGTAGATGACACGGTGATATGAAGAACGCGATTAGCCCCACCCCTGGGTTCTGCTTGCCAGATTCAGACAGACGTCTTTATGAGACCAGCGTATCAGGTTTTGGATCCAGGTCGACATGGGAAATAGACAGTGAAGGACCACGTGAGGGGCCCCCCGCGTCCTAGCTTCGGATGTGAAAGTGAGAAAAGGAGTACGAGATGTGACGTGGTGTTAGGCCATATCGGGGGGGGCCAGGAGTTTTGCGGTATGGAGACGCAGGAGGGTTGTCTGTGTGGGCACGGTTACCTGTGGGCGGTTCAGTCTGCAAGTGAGGAGGTGTGCCCATCATATCCGCATTCATGCTCTCCGTTCCGTTTGGGCCCTGACGTCCACACGCGGACAAATTCGCACACGCACGCACGCGCACAGAAAAAAAAGGCATGCCGTTAGTCTCTTGGCTTGTTGAGATGTGCCATTCGTTAGCGCCTATTCAGGCTGATTCAGTACGACTCCTTTAATTCATGATGCTAACATCCACTCCGATAATTCACAGGATTAGGCTGATCTGAATATATTCCTATTGCCGCGCAGGTCTATTTTTGTATTATCCATTCTTCTGCGAATCTATAATTACAGATGTCACAGATAATAAGGTCTGCCAATGGCAGTCTCGACATCATTCACGGAGGCGTCCCACCGTACCTGACAAGCGCAAACAGGCGGTCCAGCACCACCCACCACACCTGCTGACGTTGACATACCTCACCAAGTACTCAGTTAAGGACTACACTGCGCACAGGACTGTGTGCATGCCAAGGTGCGAGTCATAGCGAATCACGACTATGCGAGAAAGAGAATAAACTTCGTCGAAGTCAATTATATTGCTATCAGCGGCACGATCCGAGATGAGACGCAAGGCTCTATTCGGAACTCGTGCACCTTGCACTGCACCACAGTGTGTCAAAAACAATATTGAAGCTAACATCACAGTAACCTTTGAAGCCAATTTGAGCGTTTTTGTTACATATATGTGCCCTGCAAATAGCGTGTTCCTCACATTTCAATTCAATTGTTATACTCACCTGGAATTTGCCAAATGAAGTGAAAACCATATCGAATACATTTGCAATTGTTATGATTGGTGACCAGGCTGAGACCATAAACTTGCCACACTTGACAAGCCGGTTTTAACCAAGGATAATTGCCTGGATCCAAGCCCAGCAGTACCAGCTCAGTGCTCCGACATGTTATTAGCCCCGGGAGCCACCCCCAGCCACTGATATGTAGAGTGCATAGACACGTCCATGTGTTTTTCCTGTTTAATTACGCGTACTGCATCAGGCACTCGAAACACACATGCACGTACGAGTGGTGTTTTGGCAGAGTGAGTGGGGGGGGGGGCTGAGTAGGGATTGGGGGACGTCTATTTTCAATTTGTTTAAATAGATTGAAACCAAGAATATGAATCCCTGCAGTCACGAAAGCTTTAAATCGAGATTGAAACCACTTTATGCGGTTGTGGGGGGTGGGGGGGGGCAATAAACATTTATATTACTTTGCAAAACCAAACAGAGGGCAATTACATACCCAGCAGCAATACTGCGAGACTGCTTTTATCTCTGGTCCTCTTATCCATGACTCGAGTTATTCATGGGGTCAGTCAGGTCAAATCAATGAACCGGCCGTTTGGACGGCTCGGTGCGATTTAAGTTTACAAGTTTAGGTTTATTTTATTCGTTACACGGATGTTCCGGTTGAGCCAGTAGGCTGCCACTTTTTACAAAGGAGGCCGTCGGCCGTGTGCGAGCACAGCGACAACAAAAAAAGTCAACACAACTTGAATATTGCAGAGAACGAGGACGGGGTCCTTTAGGAATGTGGCACAACCAACCGGGAGGAGTTCAGTGATAGTTCCACTCCATAATCGCAAATCTTTGCGCAATTAAAAGTTCACGTGAGGGTATAAGGGTTCACTTTTTCACGTGAAAGGCGAGATGTCTCACGTCGCAATTGCACACACTGCACTTTTCACAAACTTTGGCGTTCGGATAGTGTTCGGGCAAACCGGACAGCAAGTTGTGTAATGGGTGTTGCAAAATGCACCGCTTGGCAATGCCCACAAATGCCAAGTGGGTTGTACGTATTTTCCAAGTTCATGGTTTACATATCGTAACCCACTGTGAGCAACAAGTCGAGTGACAAAGTCATCCCCTTCTGCACTCTGTTGTGGATAACGGTGGTAAAGGTGCAGCCCTGCGAACCCTGAGTAACACCACTGCTGGCGGACGGGCCTTTGCTATGGGGCAGCTCCTCTGTGGAGGTTATTTGGCCTACTCTTCCACACTGCCCAGACATTTTGGAACAGGTGAATAGAGGCGGCGGTGGGGGAGGGGGCAGGGGAGGGGGGTTAAGAATCTTGCCCACCGGGAGATACAACCCGGCCATCTGTGGCTTGCAAGTCCAGTGTGATAACAAACGCACCACGGCAGCATCAGTAATAAGAGTAATAGTTCACGGCGTAACATTACAAGCATTTACACGGACAAAACCCATTGTGGTTCTCAATGCGATCACAGCAACCACTGTACATGGACACAGCCAGTGATTTATCTGACACCCCCTGCAGGTCCACTGACACACATAGCGGTCCTCACAGCGGTTGTTCAGAACACAAAAACTTGAAGCAGATATGCGCCTTCGCCACATTTTTCAAGATTCCCCTGCAGGGGCAAAACTGTATTGTGTGTTCCAGTCAATCAACCTGTTGCCCTTTGTTTAAACCAAGCGATTCTCACATTCGAGCATTGCGCTGTGACACCCTACCAGCAGGGAAGTGGGGCCCACTCTTGTCAATGACATCCCAGGGTCTTTAACAACCACTTGAACAGCTCAAGAGACCAATGAGGTGATGGTCAGTATGGGTTGGTGAAGTGGAGGTCCAGGACAAGCCTGGAGATCACTCGACAATGACGTTAGCCGTAGCTCCGAATCGATCTCAGGGCACCGTGTTCGTAAATCAGTTTACTAACCACCACAATCCCACAGTAATAGAAATACAATTTGTATTTATAAACCATCTAAAATGCAACCGCATATCACCGTGCTGTACGAAAGAGTGGGACATGTTGGTCATTGGCGGATGGAAGGTGCCGTTAATTTATTAGGTTTTTTTTCAAGAAAGGAGGCAGTTATAGTCGAGAAGAGAAAGACCCTGAGGCAGTACAGGGGCAGGGAGTTGAAAGCACGGATGGCCGGTTGTAGTGTATTTCCAACCAGACCTCAGGGTTAGCAGAGGAGAGAATTTCCATTGAGTGAATGTTCACCAACAGCTTCGATGTTGACTTACACCTTAAAACTATAAGTAAATAACTTTGTATTTAAAGATATGTGTATGTTACATTTTGTGTAATTGTCCAGCACAAGGTAAGACCAGCAAACAGCGTATGGATGGGAAACTGATGGAATGTTGATCGGCTGTTGAAATTTTACTCAAAAGCTCAGTGGCACTGGCAAGGCTCTCCAACACAAACCACATCACTAGCTCCCCCGCAAACCATCCACGAGTTCCCACTGCAGGCTATTCATGTTTATCATTTAGTTTTCCACGCACAGCAGGGTTATGCTTCCACTATGCAAATTATTCCATTTTTTTGCATTACATCTGATACCAGCACCTGCTGAATTATTCAAGTCAAGTCCAAATATCTTGGCACAACAATTTGTTTCAGAAAGTGATTAGTGTCATAGCCTTTCCTCGTATACATAAGGGGTTGAGAGCAAGAGCAAAATGCACGACAGGCACAAAGCAGATCATGCACACTGTGTTTCGTGTCTACACATTCTGTGATTCGTGTTTACCATTAATAAAAAAATGGTTTAATATTGACTGTGCCATGTCCCCCCCCCCACCCAGAGTTGTTTTATGCCACGTCCATGTAATTATCGTTCGTGGTGAATCAAGTTCCAATTGCATTTTTTTGCAATTATGTTTGTATTTATGTGGCAATCGGTATTTTGGCTGAGATGTTGTTTTTCATGCACATTCATAAGGAGTATCAGCCACCTAACACAGCCTCCAGGGTTTGAACTCAGGTGTTGAGATGTGCGGGACACATACCCAGATCTTGGCATCGGCGTTGACAGATTACTAGCCCTGGGCCTCAAACCCACAAACTCAATCGGTGCTGCTGGCTCAGACTAAAACAACAATTTATATACATACTCTTTGGTTCTTTCGGTAAAGTCACGTAGGTGAAAAAAAATTAAAATTAAAAATAATAAAACACAAACAGCTCTCTTTTCCCACTACAGTAATTTTGTTTCTTGCTGTGGTTGTCCCACCTGATGACGGAAGCTTGTGTTGCTTCCGAAACGTTGCGATTTAATTCAGTTATTTCTATTTTTTTATTCTTATTTTTTATTTTATTTTTTTCACCTACGTGACTTTACCGAAAGAACCAAAGCGTATTGATCCTTGCAGTCACGAAAACTTCAAATCTAGAACAATTTATATAACGTCTAAACACAACAATATCTCAAGACACTTTATAAAAGCGGATAACTACATAATGATGGAAGTGGGGTCGGGTTTAGGGAGGAGGTCGAGATAGCAGAGTTGACAAGGTTAAAAGTGAATTTCTCATCCACAGTCCAGTTTATCTGCGATTCACCTGGAATTGACAGATAATGGGAGTGTTTTTGTATTTAACAGCTCCTGAGTACGGAGTCAATAAAAAGACGATGGAAAGGGTCTCCTTTATTAATCTCAAAGGGATCTCAATTAAACAGTAATTTCAGTTCTATAACTGAGCTTGCACCGTTGAGATCCTGGGTTCGAATCCAAGCAAATGCTCGTGACTAAACCAGTTTCATAAGCGTAGTTTAGCGTTCTCAGCCAAGTCATCAATGAGTGCACAAAAAAGCATACTAAAATAGATTTGCACTTAATTTGGTTAAATTCCATATTTTAGAATTTGCCTGCCAAATGAACAACATTTTTCTCTGTAGCAGCAAACAGAAACTATAGCAGTAATAGAAGTAACAAAGTAACTGCAGTACCAAGTCAACGGCAATGCATCCAATCTCATCAGATCTCAGCAGTTAAGCAGGTCTGAGCCTGTTTACTTTTTAGATGGGCGACTACCATACATGACAGGCATAATAGGCTGTGGCGACTACATTTCTGACGCCAGAGTGCAGCGCAGCAAAAAAAAGTGTTGCACTTAATGGGATTTCTATGCCCCTGTGTCTATGGTCCCCGCTTTCACCGACCCGCACTGACAGCGTGAAGTATTTCGATTTAAAGCTTTCGTGACTAGAGGGATTCATCTTCTTGGTTCTTTCGGTAAAGTCACGTAGAATGGAAATAATAAAATAATAAAA